GTGTCCTCTATCCATTTCTATCAATTTCATGATCATACCTGGGGAGCTTGTTAGCGTAACGTACCCGAAAGAGAAATTCTGTTTGTGCATCTCGGAGCCAGTATCGAATTGCGAGAACACGAACCGATCTGGCCGACGAAATGATTTCTTATGATGTCCCGCAAGTGGCTGATAATATACCCAATTCCGATCTTGATGTACCCAATTCGTTAGCTATTATTGATGATATTAGCAATGTAGAACCCTTACATTCTGTAGTTGATGACAGTATTGACGTGGAAGTGCATAGTGATGAATTTTCGTTATTTAGTTCCGATACTGAATCTAATAATAACGTTCGTGATTCGTCTCCAGAGTCATCCACGTTTAATTTCCCTACCACTACTAATGATCATGCCAGTGAAAATTTTCAGTCTCATTTAGCTTGCTGGGCCATTAAATTTAATATACCTCATGTCGCATTAAATGCATTACTTCTATTGCTAAAAATGTTTTTTGATGCTACACTCCCAAGCAATGCACGAACATTACTTGACACACCTCGACAGTTGCATATCAAAACAATTGAACCAGGTCAGTACTTCCACATTGGAATTATTAAAGCAGTTACAAAATTGTTGGCTAAGAATAATTTAGCCCATTTAACACCTGCCAGTGGAATTAAGATATGTGTTAATATCGATGGTCTGCCTATTGAAAAAAGTAGCAGCAATCAGCTCTGGCTAATTTTGTGTAATTTACAAGGTAATGTTAACAATGTCGAATTAATTGGTGTTTATCAAGGTTTTGACAAACCTAAAGAACCAAATATATTTTTAAATGATTTTGTTCAAGAAGCAATTTTCTTAACAAACAACGGCTTTACTTTTAATGGTAAAATATTTCCATTTGAAATAGCAGCATTTGTTTGTGACGCTCCAGCAAAGGCGTTTATAAAAAAGACGAAAGGTCACGCTGGTTACAGTTCCTGTACAAAATGTTACACAGTAGGTAATTTTGTAGAAAATCGTGTGTGTTTTCCCCAAATAGCAAACCTTAAACATCGAACAAACCAAGAATTCCGAAACAAGGTAGATGAAGATCATCACACTGGAACTACAATACTAGAATCTATTCCTGGTCTTAATATGATAGCTGCTTTTCCATTGGATTATATGCACCTCATTTGTTTAGGTGTGATGAGAAAGCTTTTGTTAATGTGGGTTACTGGAAAACCACCGACAAAATTGCAGCACATAAAAGTTCAAAATATATCACAAGCATTAATTAAACAAAGACCATTTTCACCTTGTGAATTTGCTCGTAAACCGCGATCTTTATCTGAAGTAAATCGATTTAACCCAGATATGCCTACCGTCCTTCTATAAGGACATTACGTTAAAGATTCCTGTAGACTATATTTTGGATAGTTCCAAGCAATTTACATAGATTGCGCTGTAATGATAACTTTAGTAAACGTCAAAGAAGCCATTGCATTCGTTGGTTTTCAAACAATACCTGTTTGAATGTTTTCATGTGCACTTAAACTTCAAGAAAAATTAAAATGTCGTATCCTCTTGATTTCAAGCTTGTTGGGTATGTATTTTAGTGTCTAGAAAGGTGTTTATTTTGTAATGGATTAATGAATAATGCCAAAAAAGCTTTAACTTACGACAATTATTAGTCAGGTTATGTGCAATTTTATCACACTAGCTTTCGTGGGGGTGTAATTACAGCTGTCCTTTTAGAAGGACAGTAGGCATTTAGTAATACTTTTTTCTTACGAGATAATTTTTTGTAGAGGGTTAACATTACATGAATTATTGCAAGAAATAGAGGAATTTCAAACAATAGTAAATAGAGGTTCTGATGATCAAAATGGTATCGACATCACAATTATGCCGCCCAACAACGCATGTGAGCAATTGACGGACGAGGATTCTGGCGATGAAGACTTAGTGTCGGTAAATAACTTGCCTCCTTCACAACTTTTGGCAACTGCTGAAATAAATAACAGAAATTTGGGTGAGTCAGATTCAGATAGTGATCCTGAATATAATATACCGCTTGCAAAGTTACAAAAAAAGAAAATTCTTCAAAAAAGCTGTATAAGTGGACCAATAGTGACCTCGTAACACAAGCTGTCACTTGGCCATTGGTTCAAATGGCCGTTACAAATCGCACACCCTATGAACTATTCTCCTTGTTTTTTGATGACGATGTTGTGAATTCAATTGTAACATATTCTAATATATACTCGGCTCAAAAAAATCGTCATACTGAAATAACAATCAGTGAAATAAAGAAATTCTTTGGCATACTCTTGCTTAGTGGTTACAATCATGTTTCTAGAAGACGAATGTATTGGGAAACAGTATCCGACACTCACAATAAACTTGTATCCAGTGCCCTTTCGCGTGACCGATTTGAATTTATACTATCGCATTTACATTGCTGTGACAACAATATTTTAGATAAAAAAGACAAATATGCAAAAGTTAGACCGCTATTCAATCAACTGAACGATAAGTTTCTGGAGTTTGTACCACACTCGGAAAACCATAGTGTAGATGAGAGCATGGTACCGTACTTCGGGCGACATTCATGCAAGCAGTTCATAAAAGGGAAACCAATTAGATATGGATACAAATTTTGGGTTGGATCCACAGACAAAGGATACATGACGTGGTTTGAGCCATACCAAGGCGCTAATAGCGTCATAAGTGATAACTATAAACATTTCGGTTTGGGACCCTCAGTTGTATTGACGTATGCAGATGTGCTGTTATCTTCAGGAGTATTTCCGTATCACATTTTCTTTGATAATTTTTTTACAACTGTGCCCTTGCTTGATCTATTGTCTGAGAAAGGTATCCGAGGTACCGGAACTGTACGTGAAAATCGTATGTCGAAATGTCCTTTAGAAACTAAAACTATGGTAAAGAAGCGAAAACGGGGATATTTTGAGTATAAAAGTACGGAAGATCATCGTATTGTAGTTACCACATGGAATGATAATAATATAGTAAACATGGCATCCAATGCGGAAAAAGTTATTCCTCCTAAAAAAGTTCAGCGATATTCGCAAAAAGAAAAAAAGAAGATTTCCATTGATCAACCTGCACTATTTTCGGTATACAATGCTCATATGGGTGGCGTAGATCGTGGAGATCAGAACATAAGTCTCTACAGGGTAGGAATTCGAGGAAAGAAATGGTACTTTCCACTCATATGCCACTGTCTGGATATGTGTGTCCAGAATGCCTGGCACCTTCACAGAAATGAAGGCGGTAAGCTTGATCACTTGACTTTTCGTCGGAGAATTGTATTAACGCTTCTACAAAGTGAAAATAAAATTTCTGCGAAACGAAGTCGATTTTCTAGTTTAGAAAATATTGATACTAGATATGACAGAATAGATCATTTCATAATGAGCCAAGAGAAGCAAACAAGATGCCGCCTCTGTCATAAAAAGGTGTCCACAAAATGTCAAAAATGTGACGTTGCATTACATATCAACTGCTTCATACCTTATCATACACATTAATGTTATTATATTATCTATGTATCTTTCGTTTTATTCCTGTAAATACATGTATTACAATGTTTGTTGAATATTAAAACTTATTATGGAAGTGTTGTGCATATGCCTACTGTCCTTTTAAAAGGACGGGCATTTTCTTTGGAAAAACCAAAACTTTTTTCGGAAATAGTTACTTTTACATTTAATTGTATCAATAAGGACCCAAATTCTTAAATTTGGAAATTCTGCTGCACCAAAAAAAAATCAGGCATATCTGGGTTAAAAATGGATTCTGTCTTTTGGGATAGGTCCTTAATGACTATATGTCTCAAGTTACGTCATGATTTTGAACATGTGTTTGACGTAGTTCGCATAAAAAATTATAGAAAGAGAGCGACATAAAAAAAATTACTCAAGAAAAAAATTCCATGTAACTCGATACAGTTTTTTATTTGCTATTCATTGCGTCTTTTCATTTCAAAATATTTTAAAAAATAAATCCAAAATATTGTAAAAACTGTATGGATTTTGACGATATTGGGTGTGTCTATTCCTGTGACTTGTAAACTAGAGGGAGGTGCACCTAAGTGAGTTCGGCCAATAGCAAACGAAAACCGAGGACCGAAAGATATTGCGAATGACTCGACGTATGACACTTGGGCGGCGTAGGAATAAATTGCAATGTGAACGACACGTTGAAAAAGAATGTAATTGCTAATAAAAACTTACCAATGTGGATGGCCATCCCTTAACACTATTAACAATGATAACACTAAGTGCATGTAAAATGAATAATATAAAACTTAATGTCTGTATAAAATGTTTATGGTCATTTCTCCGGTAAAACACACGCACGCGGCACGTTCCGTTCGTCGTCTCTCTATCACCACCCGTACTCTGCTTCCCATACGCGCGCGCGAAAACCGTTTCACTTGAATTTAAGATTTACTTTAACAAAAGATAGGTATTTATTAACGAGCTCCTAGCGAGGTTATAATTTTGCGGTGTCTGTTAGCACGATAACTCATAAACGAATGGACCGATTACGATGAAATTTTGCAGGTGGATTTTTTATCAAATTTGTATTTCGGAGTTCGTGAATTGGCAATGTAGCCCAAAAAATAAGGAAGGCCCTTTTAACATCTCCGTTAGTTATGAACCGAATTGCATGAAATTCAATATGCGTATAGCTTTAGCCATATAAAACGCAATTCCAAAAATTGAGCCTAATCGATCAACAGTCAGAGTGTTTTCGCATCTCGACCATATATAAACCGAATTGCAAACTTTTTTATTTATGACAGTATTTAAATGAAATTTGATACATAGCTACTTGGAATAAAAGCAAATACAGAGTGAGCAACAATGATTGAAGCGTGCGTCATCACCGCTTGTTCCTATTAATATCAAAACTACCTTCTTTGTATGGAGTTGTATACGAAAATGACGTTCTGCGCTGTCACAGTGACGTGCGTCTATTCGTATCTTGTATCAAATCAGCATATGCTATGAGCGGCACATTGCCAATTTAGCTGAAGCGGCACGCTTCAATCTTTGTTGCTCACTCTGTATAACGCTAGTTTCAAAATCTGATTTTGCGCATGCGCAGTGCCAACTTACTTATTTATGGAGGGGTTTAAATGAAATTTGATACATAGCTACTTGGAATACAAGCAAATTTAACGCCAGTTTCAAAATATGGTTTTGCGCATGCGCAGTGCCAACTTTCTTATTTATGGAGGGGTTTAAATGAAATTTGATACAAATAACAACCAAAGTTTTAAATAAATTTCCAGTAGCTACTTGGAATACAAGCAAATTTAACGCCAGTTTCAAAATATGGTTTTGCGCATGCGCAGTGCCGACTTTCTTATTTATGGAGGGATTTAAATGAAACTTGATACATAACTACTTGGAATACAAGCAAATTTAACCCCATCAGCTTCAAAATATGGTTTTGCGCGTGCGCAGTGCTAACTTTCTTATTTATGGAGGCACTTAAATAAAATTTGATACATAGCCACTTGGAATAAATCCACATTTAACGTCAGTTTCAAAATTTCGTTTGAGCCTGCGCAGTGCTAATTTTCTTATTTATGAAGGGATTTAATGAAATTTGATACATAATACCACTTGGAATAATAGTATATTATATACCGCGGGACTGAAGTAGTACTTTTAATCCCGAAGGTAAAGTTTTTACCTGAGGGATTAAGACCACTACTTCAGTCGCAAGGTATATACGATATTTTTCGTACTTCCGAACTGACACACTTAATATGTATGGAGTTAGAGAACGCGTTCTTTCAAAAAATCGCTGCTCAACAAGTTACCATAGGAACTGTCATTGCTAGTGTCATAATTTTGGTGGTGGGTGACAAAGGTGTATTTGATATTGATAAAAAGCAGCCAAAGTAGGTAAAGAATTGATACCACCGAAATCCAAAAAACTATATGAACAGCAGTACGATGCGTTTAAGAAGTAGTGCCGCATACAAAATGTGGAACAACCTACTGAAATTGCTTTGTTAGTAATTTCATCCTTCCGGGATTTTCGTAAAATTTAATCCCGGCGGGACAAAAAGTGACACTTCAGTACTTGTCATAATGGAGTGAAGTTGTCACTTTAGTCTCGGAAATACGAAAAAGCAAATATAACGCCAGTTTCAACATCTGGTTTTGCGCATGCGCAGTGCCAACTTTCTTATTTATGGAAGCATTCAAATGAAATTTGATACATAGCCACTTGGAATAAAAGCAAATGAATCGCCATTTTCTAAATTTGGTTTTGTGTAGGATGTGCAGTGCCAACTTTCTTACTTATGGAAGCAATTAAATGAAATTTCATACATATACACTTTAAATAAAAACAAAACTAACATCAGGTTTATTTATTTAGTCAATATTACGGGAGAGACCCCAAAAAATCAATGTTTTGTTCACAATTCACATAATACAATAGGTAGGTTTGCTTAAATTAGTGTAAAAAAGCAAAATAAGAATAAATATAGTAGGTAAGCAGTAGTAATCTAGTATGATTTGTCTATATCATTTATTAACAGCGATAGACAAACACCTATTAATGCAATCTGCGGATAAGAGTTTGCGAACCGCATCATTCTAATACTCGAGGATTGTTTGTTGTAATTACATAGTAACTTGTATGCAAATGGGGCGCACTTCTAGAAAAGATGAAAGTTCATATCGGAAAAAAAGCTATAAAGCTCGTTGTAAGAGGTAAGTGACAACTTTATCGAATGGATATGAACTACTATCACCTAAAAGTTAGCCACTAAAGATTGACTTCGCCCTTTTACAACATAGCACTGTCACTAAATTATTAAGAATCAATCCTCAGATTCTTATACTCGTACTTGTCCGTCCGTCCGTCTGCGTGCGCTATAACTCTTGAAAGTGGTCGATCGTATTGAAATTGGCGTACAGGTACTTTGGACATTAAGGAAAGACGCTAATGATTTTCAGAAAGCAGGCTCAACCGGAACAAAAGTTATAGGACTTCGAGTGAATCGGGAACAGGAAAAACTGTGCGCTCAACCGAGGCTTAAGATAATAGAAATCAACATATTTCGTTCGCTAGGTCATGTATCGAGTTCGGACTTTCACTAGATTAAACAAAGCTCTTTAAATTTTTGCCGCATGTTTAATAATCACCCTGTATAGACCATAGCCAGCTATCAATTAGCGAAAACCTGAAGTTTAGTGGCCCATCAGGGATCGAGATCTCGATCGATTTATAAAATGCGAAGAGGTAGGATGAGTCCCCACACCGGCAACAAAACGGACCGCCCACAATTTAAAAGTTACAAGAAAACGTATAAACCACCTTAAGGAAGGAGTGAGTGTAGGAGCTGCCACATCTAAAATAGAGTAAGTAACGCAAACTTTATTCCTATGTTTAGGTATAGTGGTGATTTTTTAGGATAAAAACTTCCCAGTTTCTCAAAGCTGCAAAAAACATTGCAAATTTCTTTCCTGGCGAACGCGAAGAAACGTACTATATCCCATACTGATATGACATCCATCAATCATACCTATGACTCCTGGGAACTTGGTTTTATCATTGAATAATAAATTTGATATTCTCTATTTTATTTGCATGACTGGTACCTACCTTCATTTATATTAGGCCATTTAATATATTTATCTTTTAAATCACAAAGAGCTCTGCATGTTTCTATAAATACCAAATATGCAGTGCCCTTGCTCAATCCAAATAGGTCACTTGTTGTGCACGAAATGAATAGCATGATTGGCTAATCACCATATTGTGACATGTACTTTTTTCTCAAGAGGAACAGTCATCTTCTCAACATCTCGGGTTGGATTCAATATTACTCGTAAGTCGTAACTATTGCGTGCGAAACGTGCGTTGGATTACAATGGTGGAAATGATAAACAAACGGTTTTCTACGAATATAATAATAAACGCTTACCTACATCCTGAGGAGTGAAGGATGGCCATCCTAAAACTATTAAACTACCAAAATACAATATCGTTAAACTAATCAAAACACTACTTAATTGTCCTTTATACAGTTTATCCCGGCACATCGCGAAACCACCGCCTGTCCCAGTCCAAGGATGATAAACATATAAGGATGACCGAATCCCTATGCACTAATGTTATCCGGAGCGCTGGTTGTGGTGACGTCACAGTCATACCTACAGCACCTACATAGCAGCATGTATATCGCTCGATTAGAATTGCCAAATTAATACTCTTCTTCGTCTAATTTGCGAGTGTATAATATTTGTTGACGTGTGCGGGTATGCGTACTGTATCGCGACAGTGTTTATTATAATGGTATTGCACTCAGAATTGGCAAAATAAGTAGGTATATAAGTATAGTTGTACCACAATGCCGGGAATAAGATGTGCCATTTATGGCTGTAATAATAACGTAATTACCGTTAAAAAACTGGGAAAAGACATAAAATTCTATGCGTTTCCCAAAGGGAAAAACTTAGTGACTAACACGATAAGATTAGAGTGGATTAATCGATGTAAACGTGACGACAAGTTTAATCCCAATACACACTACATCTGTTCCGTGCACTTTAATAAACTGAGTTATGAAAGGGATATGCAAAATGAATTATTAGGTAAGTACCTACATAATATTCAAAATTATAGGTTTGCAGGAATTCTGCTTCTTTTTGTTATACTTTTAATTTTGTCTATTTTTTAGGTTTACCGCTTAGAAGAATTTTAAAAAGCACTGCAGTTCCTACCTTACATCTTCCTAACACAAAAAGTTCAACGATCACTGATAGAGATAGGAGACATGAAAAAAGGGAGCGTCGGAAAATTATTAGTGATATATTGTCCAATTCAAACGAACCAGAAAATAGTGAGCAACCGGGAACTTCCATAATAAATAGGAACGACTCAGGAGAAGACAGTCATAAATTAAAATATGAAGAGTTGTTAGCTGTACATGCAAAGCTAAAACAAGATTATTCTTCGTTAAAAGAAGAGAATAAAAAGGAGATTAAACGACTGAATGATTTACTTCGTTATTATAAAAAGAAAAATCGCCTTAAACTAACATCAAAAGATGTGTGTTCAAGTTTGTTGAGTAAAGTATTGTCACGTAATCAAATAGCATTGATTACGTCTAAAAAAAACGAATAGGTAAATTGGAATCGTGAAGAACTTGCAACGGCATTTACTTTAAGATATTATAGCAAGAAATGTTATTTGTATGTAAGAAATAATCTTAATTACCCTCTACCATCATTGTCTACTTTAAAGAAATGGGTTTCTAAGGTAGGGTAATTCAAGGAGAGTTGGCGCACTAGGTGAGATGACGCAGTGGCAGTTTGTGCACTAAATATACAAGTTTTTCATTTGGCATCACTGTACAGCATCGACATAACACATGCAACTTGTGGCTGTTGTCGCCATTGTATTCAAACGATCGTAGGCTGCGTATTAACAGTGCAAAGTTTGTGTTCACTAAAAAAAAAATTTCGTTCGCAAAGTTTATAGTTATTTAGGTATGTTAACACTTCATTTTATATTATTCTATATATTTCTTGTGGCAGTAGGATAGTATGTAGTTGTGCCTAACCTCAATTTATCTCGATTTTAAAAACGTGTCTGCTAATATTAAGTGCGTCATCTCTCCTTATATAGTTAGGTGAGTTGACGCATTCCAATTTGAGGATAGATGACGCAGTCATAGTAATAATTCCCATAGAGTATTTTTTAAGTGATTGATATTTTATAGATATGCCGACCGAATATAAACGAAAGGGAAGCGTTAAAAGATGCGAGTGGACGGTACAGCAACTATCCGAGGCGATAAGCGCGATAGAAACAGGGAGAATGGGTGTCCGAGAAGCTGGCCGCCAGTTTGGTGTTCCCGAAGCTACCTTGAGACGCAGAAAGAAGAAACGAGATATTCACAGTCATAATCTAGGCCCCTCGTCTGCGCTGGGTCCTAAAAATGAAATGAAAATTGTAAGCCATATTAAGAAGTTGCAAAAGCATGGATTTGCTCCATCCAGATCTTTTGTGCGCTCCATGGCTTTTCAGTTAGCAGAACAGTTGAAGTTACCGCACAAATTTAATAGGGAATCCTGCAAGGCAGGTTATCCATGGCTAGAATCATTTTTACGACGGAATAAGGAACTTACAATAAGAAAGTCTGAGAGTGTTTCAACGGCGCGTTCATTGGCAATGAACAGAAGTAATGTGGAAACGTATTTTTCTCGGCTTGAACGCACATTAACTGAAAATGACTTAATGAATAAACCCGGTCACATTTTTAACATAGACGAAACGGGTTTACAATTAAACACCCGTCCTGAGCACGTCATCGCTGCTAAAGGTTCCAAGAATGTTGTGTCAATTTCATCTGCGGAAAAAGGGGAAACAATTTCCGTTATTGTATGCTGTAATGCTGAAGGGGCATTTATTCCTCCCACGGCCATATTTAAAGGGAAGAACAAAAAACCTGAATTTCAAGACGGAATGCCGCCTGGTTCTATCGTTTATATGTCGGAAAAATCCGCTTATGTTAATAATATCATCTTTTTCAATTGGTTAAAAGAACAGTTTGTTCCTCGTAAACCAACAGGGAAAGTGTTGTTGCTGCTAGATGGCCATTCTTCCCACTGCAGTAATGTGGAGATGTTAGAATATGCAGTTGAAAACGATGTTATTTTGTTTTGCTTACCGAGCCACACCACACAATTCCTGCAGCCTTTGGACAGAGGTTTCTTTAAATCGTTCAAAGCATTTTATTATGAAGCTTGTAACATGTACATGAGGGCAAATCCAGGAAGACGTATTACAAGGCTCCAATTTGGAAAATTACTGGGTTCTGCCTGGGAGAAGTCAGCGACAATAAAAAATGCAGTATCCTCTTTTGTAGCCACAGGCATAGTACCGTTTGATCCATCCGCCATTCCCGATTATGCATTCTTAACGGACGATGAATCAAGGAATCCTCTCCATGCTCCAACTGACGGTACAGTATCTAGCAACAGACCATCTACACCTCAGCCAGGTTGCTCAAGCTGGGTTGATGAGGGACCTGTTCCTTCACAAGAACAAACCGATAATCCCACCCCTGGTAAGATGCTAGACCAAATATCTCCAGTGCCAGTTCTACGTGCCGTTGAAAATGTGAAAAAGCGAGGAAGACAACTGGCATCTGTTTTAACAAGCAATGAGTACATTTTAGAAAAAAAACAAAAAATTGAAGAAAAGCAAAAAAAAAGTGGAAAAGAGAATATTAGAAGAAATACTAAAAGCTCTACGAAAGCAAATGATCTCAACAGCAATAAAAGAAAAAAACGAGTACGGAACGTAACTGAATCTTCAGAAGATGATGAAAATTCAGTAGTTTATGATGATTCCTCAAGTGGAGAAGATGAATCATGTATTTGTGTCGGATGTAACGAAGAATATAATCAAACAAAGAAAAGTGACGACTGGATTGAGTGCATAAACTGTAGGCGGTGGTTACATGAATGTTGCACCAAATATGGCGATAAGTGCGATTTGTGTGGTAAACACCCCAAAAAAGTTAAGAACTGATTTTCTTTTTCTGTTAAAAATTTTTATGTTAGTTATTTTATGACTAGACCCTTCCATTAATAAATAAATTACATATGTCGTGCGATTTAAATCATAAAAACATATGCGTCATCTCACCTAATGCATTGCGCCATTTCTCCTATAGATGGTGGGAGAGATGGCGCATTCCCAAAAAAAGAAAAATGTGTACTTTTTCGAAAATGTACTTATTTTAGCTTCATTGGTGATGATATTGTGAAAGGTGACCTTGTAAGTTGTTAAGCTTGTTACAGGTTTTTTTGTTATTTTTAACATATTAAGGTACAAATTGCATTACAAAAAAAGCGCGCCATCTCTCCTTGATTTACCCTAAACGTAAAGCAAAGACTGTTGCGAGATGTGTTGCTGATGTTAAAATTGGCAGGGGAAGACTTTTCAGAATTTCAAAAAGTAGTAGTTCTTTCTTTTAACGAAATTAAAATAAAAACTGTAGAAGAATACGATATCTCTACAGATGAAATTCTCGGTCCCCATAACCAAATGCAAGTTATAACGGCAAGAGGCCTGTTTTCAAATTGGAAACAACCTGTGTATATTGCATTTGATCAAAAGATGACCAAAGAAATTTTGATTAGTGTGATCAGTGAACTTTATTTACAGATAAGCAAGCAATATAATGCGCTGTGCTTCAAAACGTTTGCGCACTGCATCGTAAATAATGAGCAATGCATCACATAAAATGTGTTGTGCTAAAAAATAAATGCACAATGCACGAAAATAATTGCAGAACGCCATTAATTTTATGCGCGATGCATTTTATTAATTGCATTTGGCACATGTATTTTTGCACTATGCTTTCAATAAATTGCATTAGACATAGTTTTTATTTATGTAGTACCTATATTAGCGTATTACACACATAAGGAGAAAAGATTGTATGTCTTATAAACTTAAAAAAAAACAGAAAGGTACCTAGTTTAATTATGAAATGTAATATGTAAATTACGTTGGTACAAAGGAAACGTTTATGTAAACCTACATTATATTTATGTGGAATAGAAATCATAAATGTTTCAAAACTACAATATAAAAATTTGTTAGTCAAATCTGATTTCGTTATATGCTTTATTTAAATATTCTCGCATATGATGGTAGAACCTCAGAAAATCCTGTTCTTGAAGCGATTCCAAGATAGTTTCAAGTGCTTCTATCACATTATCGCCTGTACGTGGCTTTGGTCGAAGATGTATATATTTTGACTTTATCATTGAAAAAACTTCTTCTATCGGGTTAAGTAGAGGGGAGTAAGGAGGTAAATATCTGTGCCTAACATTATTTTCCCTAAAGAAGTTAGAGACATCATTGGCATGATGGATGCGGGCATTGTCCATAATTATAATATCGTCTTCTATTTGAGGCAAAGCAACAGTTTCAAGAAAAGTTTTGTAATCGTTAGAGTTAATAGCTCCAACTCTTGTAAAAAATCCAACCAATTGCAAGTAAAAGTGAGATGTTGGTACCTCTATTTCCAGGAACTTCTACTGACGGCGTGATTCCTGGGGAAGTATACCCATATAAAGGCCCTAAATGTAGGTTAAATCCTGATTCATCAATAAAAATCATGTTATCATCATTCACGGCTGCCATTGCGGTGGCATACATTTTTCTAGCTTGAATATGCGCCCGCGAATTTCGTTCATGTGGAATTTTCTTTGCTCTTTTTTTCTTGTATGAATGCTGTTTTAGCACTTTTGCAACTTTATTGCGATTGCATTTCAAATGTCCTGGAAGTCTTTCTATAATCTGCTGAATGGTCAATGTACATTCTTGCAGCAGTATATTCTCTATAGGCGTCCCATAACTCTCCATTGTTGTTTGGTTTTCTTCCTTTCTTGTTTAGTTCAAAATTTCGCAGAGGTCCATCAACAAATTCGGACCTAGTGTGGGAAATGAATTTCTGCGCTGAACGAAGACTTACACCAGTGGCTTCCATAATATCTTTTGCACTTCTGCCACTAGCATAAAGTTTTCTAGCAACATCAAGTTTTTCTTCAGTAAAACAAACATATCTTCGTGGCATTTTCACAATTTCACAAATAATTCATAAACTGTCATGCACAGAATACGGCCTTCTCAGAATAGAAACAGCAATGTTACAAATTTGTATGGTATTTTGGCGGAGCCTGGTGGGTGTACTGTGAACTAAAGCAACGAAATCAGAGTAGCGCCATCTGGTGACCAGCTTCTAAAGTCATGAAGTAATTTCCCAAATTCGATATAAATCATAAATATCGATAAAGAATACACAGTTGTTAAATTAAAGTGTATTTAGATACAATCACATTACATTATTTAACACAGAGAACTTAAATTACATATTTACAAATTACATATTATAAAACTCAGAAGTGAGTGGAACTTACGGTTTGTAGATGTTAACACTTTGAAGAAAGATCCTTACCTAACGATTTGTCGTACGAAATATTTGGTTTTACTTGTTGTTTGGACTACATATTTTTGTTAAAAAATATCTTTAGAACTAAATTTTTTGTTCCAAGAGGTAATAAAACCGTTTCAGCAAATTGTCACACAAGTTTTTGACAACAAATGTTAACTTGATTCTGGTGCTTACTTGTTACTTGAGAAGCGAGGGTGGAAGTTGTTGAATTATCTAAAACGTATTTTGTATTCATTGTCTAAAAGGAATTACAATAGGGGTATTCACGACCAATTTTTGAGGTTTTGCGTAACTTCGTATTTATAGTTACAAAGATACGAAATCGTCCACTCGTGAACGCCACGTTATAAAGCAGTTATGTGATTTGTGTATTTTAGAAACATAACCTCATATTTTTAAATCTGGTACCTAACCTTAATTTGACTGGATATCTCAGATGGAAACATGAAAAATACAAAAGAGGAGATTAAAAATGTATTAATCGACAATGCTGTGCAGGATATTGAAAGAATAAGAGTTAAAAGTATGTCAATTGGATATTTCATTTGTCGATTTTTTTTAATACCTACTTTTATTGCAGAAAATGAATCGGAATATGATACAATATTAGACACTTTGATAGAAGACTTAATGATAATTGAAACATATAGGTATACTATTCGATTAACTATACCGAAATCTAGGGAATGGTGTTCTGATATTTTGCCACATTTAGATGAAAATCGGTTCATTCAAATGATACGAGTAAATCGTGGTGTATTTAATTTTATTCTTTCGAAAATACAGAACGATCCAGTATTTCATGGTTGCAATTCCTGTCATCAATTTCCTATACAAGTTCAATTAGCTGTAGTTCTGTTTCGGTTAGGTTCGAGTGGCGAATCAGCATCTATTCGTAAAATAGCAGCTATATTTGGAATTGGAGATGGAGGAACCATAGAGAAAATTACGTCTCGAGTATTTAAAGTATACCTAGGTTTCTAGTTAGCTTTAGAAATAGGTTAATTCATTTATTCTTCAAGGCTATACAAAGGTTGAGGTCGCAGTACATTTATTGGCCAAATAGTGAAGAAAGGAAAATGACAACTTACATCAGCCCTCTTATTCAAAATGAAATTATTTCTACGTGCAATGATATAATTTTGAAGAAACTTGTTCGTAAAGTCAATGAGGCGAAATATTTCTCCGTGTTGGCTGACGAAACTAGTGATATTTCAGCTACAGAACAATGTTCAATATGTGTGCGCTATGTCGACAGTGAAAATGAAGTATGCGAAGACTTTTTACAATTCACACCAATTACGGACCTTACTGGAAAGGGCATTGCTAACACTTTGATTGAATCGCTTAAAAAATTTGGCCTGAATTGCGAAAATATGGTTGGTCAAGGATATGATGGGGCTGCGGTAATGAGCGGAAAATTCAATGGCGCTCAAAAGTTCTTGAACGAAAAGTACAATCTGGCAATATATGTGCACTGCGCCTCACATAGCTTGAACCTGGCCATATCGGATGCGTGTGATTTACCTGCTATTCGCAACTGCATGGGAGTTATATCTAACATACATACCTTTTTTAATACGCCGAAACGTCTTGCAGTTTTACAATCTGTAATTGAATGTACGTTGCCAGAGGCGGCTGCTACACGTTTAAAAAGGCTGTGTGCTACTAGATGGGTAGAACGCCATGAATCAGTTATAGTGTTTATCGAACTACAAAAGGCAACACACTGTGCTTTGCAAAAAATTTCTGAATGGCCCGATAAGAACTCATCTTCAACCGCACTGCAATTATTAGGGGCGATGGAGAAAACAGAATTCCAAGTTTCTCTACAAGTAGTAGCTAAAGTGTTTGCTGTTACCCTTCCTTTGTGCCGTATGTTGCAAATGAAAAATTTGGACTTAGGAGCAGCTATAAAATTGGCGACCGACGTCAATAACATAATACGAAAGTTTCGAGAAAACGCAACAGAAGAATTCTCGTCACTTTTCCAAAACGTTAAATAGATCTGTGAGGAGCTCGGCTTCGAACTGAAAATTCCAAGAGTTGCGGGGAGACAAACCCATCGTTCTAATGTTTCAAAAAGTGACCCCGAAGAATATTACAGAGTGTCTGTATTTATTCCTTTCATTGATTCCAGCATTAGTCAATTACACGCTAGGCTTTTGAAGCACAGTAACATTTTTCAAAGTTTCATGTGTCTGATTCCTGCTGAAAACTCAGAATTTGGACAAACGGAAGACGAAGCAGCTCGGGCGTTAATTAACAAGTACTCAAGATTCTTGGATATCAATGAGGAAGCAGCAGTTGGTGAAATGAAACTTTGGTGGCAATATATTTCTTCCTCGCACAGTTCTCCAAAAAATGCTCTGGACGCACTTAAAATGTGCAATCCAGAAATATTCCCAACAGTGAATAACTTACTAAGAATATTAGTTACCTTACCTGTGACAACTGCCACCAGTGAAAGATCATTTTCAACCCTGAGACGGCTCAAAACTTATTTGAGAAATACCATCAGCGAAAATCGCCTCAATGGTCTAGCTTTGTTGAATATTCACAGGAATATTGCTGTAATCATTGAGGAAGTGGATGAACTTGCTCTCAAAAAAAGGAAACTTCCACTCCGTCTGTCCTAACTTTATATTTACTTCTTCATATATTTATTACTTCATATCTAATATGAATCGAAAATGTTTTGTTTGAGTTTGATATTACGAGTATATTTATATTCTATTCAAATTAAATTCTTTTATAATACTTGAAAATAATCGTTTGTTTAACATTCATTCACAAACTGGAGATATCCTTTCGTTCTAAACTAAGTTCCTATGCATATTCCTCCTTCCAGATTAGTTTAGAACATGAAATCGTAAGTATACTTACAAATCAAGCAAATTCCTAGAAGAAATAAAATTTAATTTTCAAGGGTGACCTGCTCGGCGCGAATATCCTAAACCCCCCCCCCCCTCGACGAAATTCTGGATACGCTAGTGATGATAACGCTCGCGAAACATGTAGGAGTGGAAATCACAAAACCAGACATCCAGGCGGTTCACCGTATCAATTCAAGCGTCCCAGGAAGAAAACCCATAATTATTCAATTTTCAAATAGAATGGTACGTGATGATATACTGGGGAAAGCAAAAAGTCGAAAACCAACAACGGGCATTTTTGATATGACTTCACCGCAGGCTATCTATGTCAACGAGCATCTTACTCCTTACTACAGGAAACTCTTTTTTGAAGCAAGAAATAAAACGGTGGACAACAAAGCAGTATATAAATATGTGTGGGTAAAAAACTCCAAGTTGTTTGTGCGAAAATCGGCCCAAGTGTACGTATCTTGAGTGTAAATGACCTCGTCTAATCACTGATACGTTTATCGAACCTTTAGAATTCTTTTGCATTATATCGATTTATCATTTTATTTCGCATCTCGTCCTCTAGATCATATAGTGTAGTGTAGTTGTTTCAGTGTTCGCGCCACGAAATTTAAAGCCAATGTAAAAACTTACGCTCCCTCTACTTTCCCCTCTTGTCGCGCTTGCAACGGGCTTCATTAGTTGTTTTCGTGCGAGAGTGTACGCCACGCGTTGTTTTGTTTTTACCACTCAACGTTTTTTACCTTATTAGATGGGTCATAAACGGAAAGCTAAAAAGCTAATTCGTAAGCGAAATAAAAGAAGGAGGAAAGATGATCGATTACAGGATATCGCGTATAATATTTTATGCGAATTGCGGTCGAAGCAAGGTCGTGACAGCGATACGGAGGTAGATACCAGTGCTGATTCAGAGCAATCAGCATCAACACCGCGTGCCGGTCCTTCGGAAACAAGTTTTGATAATCGAGATTTAACATCTCTCTTTTACGAAAGTGGTAAGCCTTGTTTTATGTTCCCTGCCTTATCAAAGTACGCAAACGAGTTTTTGTTGTACTTCTTCCAAGTTGGAAAGTAGTTTTCCTTAGAAATTTTGGCCTTCCCAGTAACGTAACAGGTATTCAAACGAGTCTTTGACATACCTGCCGCTACACTTTTAACGAGTTTTAAAAGAAGGTAGCTTGACAGAATCTTTCAACTAGTTGAAAGAAATCCTTTTGAAGGCCGTAAGGCTTTAGCTTCTTTAACAAATTTGGTTTTACCACTAATTTAGCAGGTGTTCAAACGAGTCTTTGACATACCTGCCTCTACACTTTTAACGAGATTTAAAAGGTAGATTTGATAGACGTTTTTTTGTCTTTTAAAGGTACAGTGGTACCTTCCTTTTTTCAAGGAGTTGGAAGAGGTTGAAAGAAGGCCTTTGGGCTTTAGTTTATTATTTTATTAGCTACAAATTTGGTAATTGTCTGCTTCTCCTTGTAATTTGGGTTTTGTTTTCTGGATTTAGAAGCAAGCGCAGACGGGGAAAAAGAAAACGTGCCTCCCTTTTCGATTCCGTCAGAATTCCTAACTTTGTTGGGCCAATCCACAGAACCGGCAGTTACCTTACACAATGAACTGCATGTCGAGTTAGTCTCTCGCTGGGAGAATATCTTGAAATCGGGGTTGGATCCACAAGTGGCCAACGATTTAATATCCAAATATCCCCCAGCAGAAAACTGCAAGGTCATTGGGGTACCTAAATTAAACCCTGAAATCGAAACCGCCATGACAGAACAACACAAGCAAAGGGACAAACGATTAGCCGAAACTCAGGGACGACTTGCAGCAGCTCTCGCAGCAATCGGCAGGAGTTTGACGATTTTGTTAACTCAGGAGGGGAGCGATCTAGGGCTGACCCTTATTGAGTACCTGAGCGATGCGAGTCGCCTTCTCTCCGATGCTCATCACCAAGAATCCGAGGCTAGAAGATTTTTAGTGGCATCAGGCCTAAATAAGCAATGCCGGGAGACTATTGCTGCAGCTCCTATAGGTGAATGGCTTTTCGGAAATGATCTTACAGAGCGTATGAAGGCTGCGAAGACCCTTGAACGTTCATCAACTGAATTCAAACCTACGAAGCCAAAACCTATAATTAAAAACTTCCCTAAAAGGCAGGGAAATGCGAGGGGTCTGCCTCGGACGCTGAACACATCCAGTCGGGGCAGACCGAAAAACTACATACCACAACTGAGAGACCGCTACCAACAGTTACCCAGAAAATATTATCAAAATCAGTCCCAACACCAGAATCGTCGTTAGTGAAGGTAAACAGGTCAGCCGGAAGATTAAGTTTTTTTGTAAATGCTTGGCGTGGAATAACCCGAGATCCGGTTATTCTTTCTTGGATTGAGGGCTATACTATACCTTTTAGTAAACAACCGATACAAACTTATCGGCCAAAGCAGATGCGATGGTCGAAAACTGAATTATCAGTAGTTAAAATTCATTTAACTAGTTTGTTATGTAATGGAGTAATTTCAAAATGTCGCCCTTCAAGGGGCCAATTTGTGTCGAACATTTTTTTAGTGCCCAAGCCTGATGGTTCACACAGGCTAATCCTTAACTTAAAAGAGCTTAACCAGTACATAGAAACTCAACATTTTAAATTAGAAGACTATAGATCAGTTACTAAGTTAGTTACGGAGAATTGTTTTTTCGCATCTCTGGACTTAAAGGATGCATATCACTTAGTCCCAATTAGAGTTAAGGATAGGAAGTTTTTAAGATTTTACTTTGAGGAAGAGCTTTTTCAATTTAATTGTCTTCCTTTTGGGCTTTGCACTGCTCCTTTAGTGTTTACAAAAATATTGAAACCAGTTTTTGCCAAACTTAGACTACAAAATTTTGGGTCTAATGTTTATCTAGATGATTTCTTACTTCTTGGAGACTCGTTTCGCGATTGTTTATCCAATGTTGCCACCACAAGATCTCTACTGGAAGAACTAGGGTTCATTATAAACGAGAAAAAGAGCCGATTTACACCCAATCAGAGTATACAGTACCTAGGCCTTGTTTTTAATTCTCGCTCGATGACAGTTAGTCTTCCAGTTGAGAAGCAAAAACGTATTCTGCAAGATATCCACACTTTAGAGACTAAACTTAGTTGCAAAATTAGAACCTTCGCAAAATTCATTGGTAGGATTATTGCAGCAACGCCTGCGGTTCGTTATGCGATGCTGTACACTAAGAATTTTGAAAGGCAAAAATTCTTAGCTCTTAAAAAGTCAGGGGGGGAGTACAACAGTACTATGACAATTCCCTCCACACTGCGGCACGATTTTCTTTGGTGGAAGTCTCACATTCAGGAAAGCAGATGTATTAGACCCATAAATTACACAATGGAGATTTTTAGTGATGCATCTCTTTCGGGCTGGGGAGTAGCTTGTTCAGGTAAAAGGTCTCATGGATTCTGGACACGAATGGAAAGCAAAAATCATATCAATTTTTTGGAGTTGCAGGCAGCCTTTTTTGGTTTGAGGTGCTTTGCAGCTAATTTTAAACAAACCAATATTTTACTCAGAATAGACAATACCACTGCTATATCTTATATAAACAGAATGGGGGGTGTCCAGTATCCACATTTAAATATGTTGACTCGAGATATTTGGCAGTGGTGTGAGAAACGCGAATTATGGATTTTTGCTTCGTATATTCAATCTTCCGATAATGTTGAAGCAGATCGCGAATCGAGGCGTAAGGTTTCTGAATCTGAATACGAGTTATGTGATCTTGCCTTCCGGAAAATCTGTACCGATTTAAGACATCCAGACATAGATTTTTTCGCTTCTAGAACCAATAATAAGTGTGAACGATATTTTTCCTGGCTTAGGGACCCAGGAGCAGAAGCAGTGGATGCCTTCACTGTAAATTGGGTTGATAAAAATTTTTATGCTTTCCCTCCTTTCGCGTTAATTCTCAGAGTACTTCAGAAAATTAAGTCCGATAACGCGGAAGGGGTTTTGGTTGTTCCCTTTTGGCCTACACAACCTTGGTGGCCATTATTTAATGCATTATTAATTAAACCACCTATTTATTTCAAACCTAATCCTAACTTGTTGTTATCTGCTGATAGGACGCCACATCCGCTGCACGTAACCCTTACCCTGGTAGCAGGACTGTTATCAGGCTAGCCTTAGAAAACAAGGGAATTCCAGAGATGGCCGTGGAAGTATCCCTCGCCTCGCTGACCAAATCCTCAATAAGTCAATATAACCATGGCTTAAAATTATGGTGGGATTTCTGTGTAGGAAACAAATTCGATCCCTTTATTCTCAACTTTAACAACATTTTAAGTTTTTTAAGCGATTTGTTTAATAGAGGATTTAGTTACAGTAATCTTAATACCGTTCGGTCAGCCCTCTCGTTAATACTTTCACCAGAAGTAGGGTCTGACGCTAGAATTAAACGGTTTTTTAGAGGGGTCTTTAAGTTAAGACCATCCTCTCCCAAATACAAACATACTTGGGATCCTACCATAGTTTTAAGCCATTTATCAACATACTACCCTAACCAGTTTGGAACAACTAACACGTAAGCTTGTTACGTTACTAATACTAATAACCGCACATCGAGTGCAGACGTTGTCTCTGATCAGAGTTAAAAATATTATTTTGAACGAGGACAAAATTCAGATAAGGATTCCAGATAGAATAAAAACCTCAGGACCTAAAAGCTTCCAACCAATACTGGAAATTCCTTTCTTTCATGAAAAGCCGGCTTTATGTGTGGCAAGTACTTTACAACACTACTTGGGGAGAACAGAAACCTTAAGAACGCCGATGATTTCAAACTTGTTCATTACATTTAGAAAACCGCACAAGACCGCATCGACTCAGTCAATCAGTCGTTGGATTAAGAGTACTCTGGCTGAATGTGGTATCGACACCAAGATTTTTACTGCACATAGTACTAGACACGCTGCTACCTCCATGGCTGCAAGAAAGGGCGTCAGTCTAGACGTTATTAGAAATACAGCAGGTTGGTCTGCTTCATCACGGGTATTTGCTCAGTTTTATAATCGACCAGTGTTAGAAGAGCAGTCGGTGGCAAATGCCATTTTAGGATTATTGTAACCTTAGATTTAGTTGTATAACTTTAGATCGTTGTCATTGTAAGGAATAAAATCCTTTCTTGGTTTGGTTGCAACTGCTTTAAACATCTACACTATATGATCTAGAGGACGAGATGCGAAATAAAATTTTAAGATTAAACGAACTTACCTTAAGTGAAGTTCAATCTAAATTTTATGAAGCATCTCGTCCGAATAGATCATAGCCCTCCCTTCCCAGCCCTATTTTTTGGAGTTGCAACAAAGAAGCAGAATGGCTGTAAAAAATGAAGCCCGTTGCAAGCGCGACAAGAGGGGAAAGTAGAGGGAGCGTAAGTTTTTACATTGGCTTTAAATTTCGTGGCGCGAACACTGAAACAACTACACTACACTATATGATCTATTCGGACGAGATGCTTCATAAAATTTAGATTGAACTTCACTTAAGGTAAGTTCGTTTAATCTTAAAATTATTTATGTTAGATTTACTTAGTGAATATGAGGGCAACAACTTGGAAACTAAAAACGTAACTGATGCCGGCGAAGTTAAAATATTTTTAAAAGAACAATTAGGGAAAGGGTTTAGTATATTCCATAATAATATAAGGAGCTTAAATAAAAATTATGATCAATTACTTGTAGTTTTAAGTCAACTAGATTATGAATTCGATTTAATTGCATTATCGGAGACCTGGATCATTCATAATCCGCAGCAGTTTGCTATAGAAGGGTATGAAACGTTTTATAATTTTGGTAACGTCAACAAAAATGACGGAGTTCTTGTTTTTATCAAAACTTCTTTGAAATACGTGCATCAAATCATTGAGATAGGAGGAATTAAATGTTTACGTTTCTCCATCAAAACAGATCAAAACCAATTCTATGTTAGTGTTTTATACAGGGTGTTACACGACCGTTCGAAAAAAAAAAATCGGGTTGTAGAGGGCATCAAAACAAGCACTTTTTCCAAATAAACCGAGGGTCCAACGTGTTTCGTTTGGGAGCCACCCCCCAAAGAGTGTTGAAATCTGCATTTCTTCTTTAATTTTTTTCTCAGCAACCATAAGAGTTACAAATTCGGGTGGCATGTCTTTGAATAGGTTTTTGGGTATGCTCTTTCCGATTTTGCAATTTTTTTTTCAAAATTCCTACCCCTAAAGGGCGCACCCCTAAACTAGGGTGCAAGAAAAAATTCTGATTTCGACGAAATTTGGTATCTGGGTTTTTTTTAACATGAAAATCACGAATCTGAAATTAGTTTTTGAAAATTCGAAAAAAAAAGTTCCACTGCAATTCTTGGCGGGACAACGAAAATAGAGATAATTCCACGAAACTTGTTGTGTACATACTAAACGAGTTAAGGAACAAAACTGTCGAACAGTTTTTTAAAATAACTTTTCAAACAAAAGTTATACTCATTTGAATGTTGGTCCTTCGGGTCGCGAAGTGTCCCAAACCTACTAGTAAGCCATAATTTCGCATGTGTTGGTTGACAATGTCGCAAAAACAAAAGATTAACGGTTTGAGTCGATATTTTGTTATTTGGAATTAAATGATTAAAAAATTCGATGTATCGATTAAAACACCTACCAAGGTATCTTAAAGCGCTGATCGATTGTTTATTATCTTTTTTTTGTTCTTTTGGAAGTTATTTTTCAACCTAAGATTATGAAAATTTTTGATCATAATGAAAAAGTATCATACGGAAAGTGATTTGACTTTTTCCCCTACCTTATTTAGATAATAAATAATCGATCAGCGCTTTAAGATACCTTGGTAGGTGTTTTAATCGATACATCGAATTTTTTAATCATTTAATGACCGAATTAATTCCAAATAACAAAATACAGTTCGACAGTTTTGTTCCTTAACTCGTTTAGTATGTACACAACAAATTTCGTGGAATTATCTCTATTTTCGTTGTCCCGCCAAGAATTGCAGTGGAACTTTTTTTTTCGAATTTTCAAAAACTAATTTCAGATTCGTGATTTTCATGTTAAAAAAAACCCCAGATACCAAATTTCGTCGAAATCAGAATTTTTTTTTGCACCCTAGTTTAGGGGTGCGCCCTTTAGGGGTAGGAATTTTGAAAAAAAAAATTGCAAAATCGGAAAGAGCATACCCAAAAACCTATTCAAAGACATGCCACCCGACTTTGTAACTCTTATGGTTGCTGAGAAAAAAATTAATGAAGAAATGCAGATTTCAACACTCTTTGGGGGGTGGCTCCCAAACGAAACACGTTGGACCCTCGGTTTATTTGGAAAAAGTGCTTGTTTTGATGCCCTCTATAACCCGATTTTTTTTTTTCGAACGGTCGTGTAACACCCTGTATAGATCGCCATCTCTCGATATCAACGAATTTAACGAATCTTTTGTTCAATATTTAAAACAATACTGTATATTTGAGAATGAAGTAGTGTTAGGTGACACAAACATAAATATTTTACTGGACACTTATGATGTCCACGAATATTTAAATAATTTGAACGAGTGTGGATTCGTATCAGCAATCAATTCTTATACTAGGGTAAATGACAGTGGTGGTAGTTGTATAGATCATATTTTTGTTAAAACACATTATAGATAAGAAGTACATCGTTCCTATAGTAGTTCAAAGCACTGTTACGGATCACTTTCCGGTAATAATAGCTTTTTTTGTAGGTTGTAAGATTGACAATACTAGTAATAGAACACGCAGTCTCAAAAAAAATTGATTTTAAGAAATTGAAGGAGATGTTGAATAAAACAGACTGGGAAGGAATCTTTCTGAACTATGATATAAACATAGTTACAGAAACACTTATCAATGTAATAAAGAATGCTACCACCTTAGCTACTGAATCAACATTAATAAAAGGCAGGGAAATCAAAAGGAATCCATGGATTACCGCGGGATTGATAAAATCCATAAGGGAACGGGACCTTCTATTCCAAAAATATAGGAAATATAAAGATCCTCGATCACTAGCTGAGTACAAAGCATATAGAAATAAAATTAATTCACTAATACAGAACGCCAAAAAGATTTACTTTGATTCGAATTTAGTTAAACATGGTAATGACAATAAGGCGATATGGGATATGATAAAGCAAACTTTGAATCGCAAAAACAAATCCAACGAAATTAAATCTATAGAAGTAGCTAGTTGTTCAATCACCAACAATAAAGAGATTGCCTATCATTTTAACAAATACTATATCAATGTAGCACAAGAATTAGCAAACAAAATTAGTAACACACATAATGACCACACGTTTTCGAAAACAAATGTATGCACTAAATCCATATTTTTATTTCCAACTGACATCTCAGAAATTCTTTGTTATATTTCTCATCTGAAGCGTAATATAAGGTGACCAACTTACCATGTCATGAAATCGGGACACCCTCCTCCCCCCCACACCCCCACCCCCCACCCCAGACACACACACATACACACTTCGGTACGGAGGTATAATGAAAGGCAAATTTAATTTTATTATTTTTAATGCATTTAAAAAACCACATACATACATCTACATACGATGAATAACATAGATTTTGTTTACTTATGTTTAAATGAATATTTTTTTTCAGAAGAAATCGCACTCAAGGCATTTTCATTATTAAGTAATAATGAATAAAACTCTTGGCAACTAATTAATTCAAAATTAATTTTCGTAATAATCATAGATTTTAATGTAGCTACCTTGAGTTCGGTGTGGACCGCCAAATAGGACGGTTGTATCTGGCGAGTTCCGTGGTTATTTTGTTTACTTTAGCTACTTTAGCAAATAATTAATAAATTTTGAACGCAAGAAGGATCCGGGCTTAAGTCGGACTGAAGCCCAAGCTGAATCTGTCTTTTTAAAGGCAATAAAGCGAATTAAACACGTTACGCGCGGTATTAATTTAATTAAAGTGTGGCAAACAGTGTAGAAACCAAATCAACAGGACAACAGGGCGAAAAGCTAAGTACTAGGGTTAAGGTTATAATTTAATTTAATTTAAAACAAACTCAATTCAATCAATTAAATTAAGCTAGAATAAAGACGCAGGCCAGGGGGACAATTTACCAGGCAGTCTAGCTAGATAAATGAGACGTCAGAATATCGCGGGTTAGCAATACACATGGGCGTGAAAAATTAGACCCTTTTGAAAGGAAACATAAACCTGTCAATCGGCGAAATACAAACACCCTAACCCATAAAGCAGGCTATTTAAATTCTCAAGTTGACGACATTTTTTTTTTGTATAATGGGAAAAGGTCAATAATAGTGCATTCCGAGGGCTGCGGGTAGAATTACAGTTTTCAAACAAATTCATTATACGGGATAAATAAGAAGTCTGCTTGCTTTGACCGACCCCAATTATTCTGAATTTCACCAATTTCCCACACAATCTATACAGGGTGGCTAAGTTAAACTAGACTGCATGGGCAAGTCTCACTGGGACAAATCATAATCCAATTTAATTATATCTTTCAGCGTTCTCTTCCAGCGTTCTATTTCAGCGCCCACTTTTCAGTATTCAACTACTTTCTCTTAACGAGTAGCAGCAGAGACCAAACAGGATGACCGAAGAAGTACACACAAACGAGTACATCCTAGAGTGCGTCAGGATAAATAAGGATGGGGCCTGCCTGTTTGGAGCGATTGGGCATCAACTGAGGAGATTCCCAGTGACATCAGAACCTCACAGGAAATTAACCAAAAGGATTAGAGAAGAAACCAACGCATACATCAGGGAAAACCTGGAAGATTTCTACCCACAGCTGATAGGAAACGTAGTGGAATTAGAACCCCGGTATGAACAATATGCCAACATGGAGGAAAAGATCGAAGCATACCTCAGGGACCACAGAAAGCAGGGGTTTTGGGGAGGATACGAGTCACTGGTGGCGGCGGCCAATACATACAACAGCCAGATAGTGATATACGAAGAAGGAGGGGGGAAGCATGTCATAGAACCAAGAGCAACAACGGGAGCCACAGGTCACTGCCACTTAGCATACAGATTAGGGAGTAACGATGTCCGGAACCACTATGATAGCGTGGTGAGAGCAGAAAACATGATAGGGGAGATAGAGGAAGAAGAGGAGGAATACCGACGAACACGAGTGCTAGGGGAATACGAAGAAGCGAGAGGAGCCGCTGTCCCTAACGAATACAGTCTGAGTATGGTGTCCGGAAAGAGTGCCTCGCAGGAGAGAAGAGAAAACCAAGAGAGGAGCCAAGATATAGAAGAAGACAGCAGCATGAGGGTAGCCACGTGGAATGTGCAATGGGCAAGCGACCCAAGGAAAAGGGAGCTAATTGACAATGAATTAAGGAAACAAGGAATAGATGTAGCCAGTTTACAAGAAACCAAATTAGCAAGTGGGATGGCTGCGACAGGGAACTACGACTGGTGGATAGGGGGAGGGAAAAAGGAGAGAACCAGCAGGGGTACGGCAATCGTAATCAGGAAGTACCGAGGCATTGAGGTGGAAAAATTTGAAGAAAAAAGCGAGAGCATATCCATGGCCCAAATCAAGACGAGAATAGGAAGAAGTGAAGCAATAGAACAAAAGTGCGGAAAGAACCCGGGTATCATACTAGGCGACTTCAATGCGCAACTAGGCAAACTGGATGGAAGTGAAGACGAGGAACACGGTATAGGCAAAGCTATCAAGCACGAACATGACAATGGGAACGGCATGCAGCGAGCTTAGGAACATGGTACACCTACATGGACTGAGGGTGGAAAACACATTCAGCAACTCCAAAATGGTGCTGACAACATGGAGGAGGGGAAACTCTGAATCGCAGATTGACCACATAATAAGGACGAAATCAAAAGAAATAAGAATCACGAACACAGTAGGCATATGGGCAAAAACAGTAGGGTCGGACCACAAAATGGTAAGGGGGAAAGTAAAGAGGGGAGGAGGAAGAGAGGGGGAAGAAAAGAATAAGGATCAAAGCGGGAGAACGGAATGGTGGGATGTGAAACTTCTGTCAGGGGAGAAGAAAAGGGAGGAGTACATAAAGGAGCAGGAAGAGATCAGAAACAAAAAGGGGGAAGGAAGACCATCTTGGAACAGGATCGCCGAAACGCTGAAAGAGGCAGCAGGGAAAACACTCGGGACACAGAAACCGCCCATGTCCCGGAACAGGAAACAAGCCATGGATAATCACAGCAGAGCAACCAAGAGGTTTGGGCAAAATCCACACAAACCTGAAACAAAGAAAGAGCTAAGGGAAGCTAAGGAAGAGAAAAACAGAGCCTCTGAGCAACACGAAATTAAGGAATTCGCCGAGTTCGCGGAGAATATCGCCAAGCTCAGACCAATGGAGAAAAATGCGCAAATGTATAAGCACATAAAAAAAACAAAAGGAGGAAACAAGGGGGAAACAGAAAATATATACCAATGACAGCGTGGGAGAAACTCCTGAAAGGAGAACAGGAAGAGCAGGCCCAGCTAATGTCGGAGGACGACCACTGGCCACTGCCGCCACCCCCCACGGTGGAAGAAATGGTGGAGATAATAGGAAAGTTGAAAAAGGGGAAAATGCCAGGACAGGATAGAGTCCAGGCCGAATTACTACAATACGCCTCAGAATGGCTAATAAAGGACCTACATGCATTGATACAGGAGGTATGGACCAGGAACTTGGTCCCTAAGGAATGGCAGCAGACAGTGCAGATCCCCATCCCGAAGGTCAGGTCACCACAAGAAACAGATGACTACAGAAGAATCTCGCTATGCAGTGCGGGGTACAAGATATATGCGACCTACCTACTACAATGCCTAGAGGGCCACATACCCGAGACACCAGCATACCAAGTAGGGTTCATAAAAGGAAGATCAACCGATGACCATATATTCACGACCAGGAGGATCCTAGATGAACAATGGAGGGCAGGAACCAAAACATGGCTTCTAGCAATAGATTTGGCGAAGGCCTTTGACCAAGTGAAGCATGAAGCAATAACCACATCTCTGGCAATGCTGGGACTGCCCAAATTCCTAATCAACAGAATCATAAACGCGTGCCTAAGGGAGCATACTAGCATACAATGGTTTGGGAAGAAGACAGAGCACCAAAAGAAAACCAGGGGAATCAAACAAGGATGTCCGCTTTCTCCAAGGCTCTTCGCGATAACACTTGATCACGCTTTAGAACAAACAAGGATGGTGGTGAGGAACTTCAGCACAAGGGACCAATTACAACTACCGACACTACTGGCGTACGCGGACGACCTACTCGTAATCGCGGATAAGTTAGAAGACATTGAGGACTTCGTCGAAACCAGCGAGGTATACCTGGAAATGGTCGGCTTACAAATAAACAACGAAAAGAGCTACATGATGATAAGAGACCCAAGAAGCAACACCCAATACAAAGAAGGAGACAAGATCGCAATAGCCGGGAAGGAGATAACTATGAAGCACAAGATTAAATATCTGGGAGCGTACATAAGCAGCACACTCAGCAGGCACAACACAGTGAAAGACAGAATAACCAACGCATTCAGAATCACGCACGGAATTCGGAACTTTATACGAGAGAAGAAAATACCGGACAGCTTGAAGATGATGATATACAACACGATCGTAGCACCGACAATCTTATACGGAATTAACACTTCAGCGCCAACAAAGAGCAACAGACGAACATTGAGGAGGGCGGAGTGGAAGGCACTCAGGATACTGATGGGAAACAGCAACCTTACAAGAAAGCAGATAAGGGAACTACTAGAGGGAAAGACGATCACCAGGAGACTGAAGATGAGACAGATGAGATACTGGGGACATATAAACAGGAGGAACAAAGACCATATCCTACGGGCTGCAAGAATCTGTGTGCCTCGGAATGGAAGGTAGGCCGACCCTGCTTCACATGGAACACCACCATAGACCAAACGGTAATGGCCTCGGGGATTCCCATGGGAAGTTGGGAAGAGTGGAGCAGAGACAAGCATCAAATGAAGAAAGAAAGCAGAAGAATATTGGAGGTGGAAGAAGAATCAGACATAAGCACAAGTAGCCAAGAGGAGGAGGAAGAGGGAACGACAGAAAGTAACACAGAGAGAGGGCAACAATAAAAAGGGGAGGAACACGGGGGAAAACAGGGAAGGGAACGATACCAAAGGATAGGAACATCGGAAGACAATGAACGCCAGGAGAAGAAGCTATCACTAGAAAGCAGAGTTCCCTCTAAGGCAGAATACCAGTGGCGAAGCTGTGGCCGTACCCGTTCGGGTCGGATAACACCCAGTTAGCCGCCCCCCCACAACCCCCCCAATCCACAAACTCCACCACATTGTTTGGCATATGTCGCGGCCCAGCGCGATGGCAACAAAGTAGTGGTGAAACGTCCCTGATAGTGCCTACCAGGGACGCATCCTCACGACAGTTGACTAAATCCTGGGAGAGGCGGCGACGCCAGGCATATGTCAAAGTTTCAAGTTTCAATCATAGATTTTAATGTAGCTACCTTGAGTTGCGTTTTATCCACAGTCCAAATGTTATTTACATGAGAAAACACTCTTTCCAATTGAGCGTTTGTACCTGGCAAACATAGTGCGTACTCAACTAATAATAATAAATTGGAAAATGGGTGATCATTGTCTTTAAAAAAACTGAACACGCTTACCCATCTAGTGCTAACAGTAGTTTTTTGCTCTTTCCAAGAAGATATTTGATTTCCCATGAACGTTTTTAAAATCATCACTTCATCAAATAATTCATTCTCGTTTACCATTTTCCCTAGATTTACAATTTCTAAGCATGATTGAAACTCACAAAATTCTGGAATTTTATTTAAAAGTACCCAGTTAAATTTTTGTAACTTCTCAATTTCAGGATTTTCCCATTGTTTTAAATATTCAATGGCCGTAACAAAGAAATTAAACATTTGCGTAGAAATTATATGCTTATGTTCTTGAAGTTCTTCGGAATTTAACATATTTTGTAAAATTAGTGGTACAAAATTATTGTCATTTCTTGATTGAAGTTTATTAATCAAATCTTTAAATATCATAATAATTTCTACGCATGAAACGTTTGCTCCCTCCATCTTTAAAATAGTTTGATGAAAAATTGATGCTACATTATGGACAAATAAGAGCCAAAATTCAGTCTGTGAATTTTCAAAATATGATTTAATTATTACAGGGCATTTATCCATCGACAAAAAATATGACTTTAAAGCTCCGTACATTTGAAGTAGTCGTTCTACAGCTGGCAAAAGTGCCAGCCAACGCGTATTGCTGTACCCTAAGATGTTGCGATATTCAATTTGTACAAAATCACAAAACTCCTTCAATTTTTCTACACGCACAGTATATATATGGAAAAATGAATAAATTTTTGTGGCAAATAGTTCCACATCAATTGGTAGAATATCACATGCAGTTTTAATACAATTATTGACAACATGGGCCATACATCCTATCCCAACAATAGATGGATTATTTAAACTATTTTTTAATTTAACGTAAACATTATTTACACCTTTTCTCAATGCACCACCAAAGTTTGTATTGGTGTTATCTGCACAAAGACCAATTATTTTATTAGTTAAACCAAAATTAGTAATGGTTTTCAGCAAATATTCACAGATTATTGCAGATGTCTCACCAGGTAAATCCTTTAAATCAAGCAATTTAAGTTGAATACCTTCCATAGGCAAAAAATACCGAACCAATATTGGCATCAACTTTATGTGCTTGTGATTGGATGCGTCACAACACACAGTAACAAAGTTCACTGCATTTAAGTTATTTTGAACAGTTTCCATGGCCATCGGTTCAAAAACTGCACATATTATGGCTTCACTTTTGGTTCTAGCAGATGAATACTTAGGCTCGAACATTGACTTAATCAGCTTTGACGTACAATCTCCACTACGAAAACTGTGATTATGTTGCAAGAGATGATATGCCCATGTCCCTTCAGCCGCTGCCAATTTTTTGTTCGAATCATCTAATCTGCTGGACTTACAGAATTTGGTAATGGAAACATTAGCAGTTGTTAAAGTGACGGCACTTTTGTGTTTAGCCGTTGCAACATGATGGATTACGTCTGCATTACCTGCAAAGCAAAGGGTAAAACAAAAACACTCATTATAAAAACACATGAAATAAAACGGTATTAGAATTTGAGGGTACGTTACGCTAATAAGCCCCCGAGGTATGATCATGAAATTGATAGAAATGGATAGAGGACACCTTAATAACACGTTTAGAATAAAAAATTTGCGGAAGAGGGCCTAAATTTTCCAAAATCTTAATTAAAAGTTCACCTCATTTTCTGGAAATCTGGTGTTATTTTACGTATATTTTGTAATTCTTAAGTTGGCGAAACTGAAAAATTTTATGTGATAGCTCTTTTTCCACTAATAAACAAAGGTGACAGTAAATTTTTGTAGGTTATGTTAACTTCTTCGTCTACTAAAATGAAATATGCTGGATTTAACGTGTAAATTAATAGAATGTAATAAAAGTAGTACAACAGGTATAATATACAATACAATTTTAGGTTTTGTTCGACTTAAACACCAAATAAGCGACACTTCCATGTGACTGTCATTTTAATAACCACTTTTTGAAGCGTATACAAAACAAACTTGAATGCATTAGGGAAGAAGGATGTCGTAGAGAAGGTTGCATGTGGCAACAATTTCTTGGTATCGATCACCGAGAGGGGACACCCGGGCACTTCCTGCATGTTTCATATGAATCGCCGCTTAGCATCCACCGCCTAATACGGTCGAGAGGGGAAGGAACATCTCTCGCATTTTCCATGGATCGCAGCTACGTTAGCGATCGCCGCTTAACTTGGAACACCTTTATCGTATCGACCGTCGCTTAGCATCCACCGCCTAATGCGGTCGAGAGGGGAAGGAACATCACTCGCATTTTCCATGAATCGCTGCTTAGCAATGTAGGATGTAGAGAACTACTTACTGTTATTATGGTATAATTAAAAACATGTATAAAGTTGTATACCATTGTTTAAAGTTAATTAAATCGTGGAAAAATAACATAACCTCTTAAGAAACTAACTAAAGTTGGCACTCGGGAATGTTAAGAACACCAGTACCAACTGAAAAACAATCATGAAATTTGGAGTAATATAACCTCACTTACGACGAAATGAAGTGAACTTTGAATGAAGATTGTGGAAAATGTAAGGCTTCTTCCGCAAATTTTTTAACTGATAACGTGTAATTAAGGTGTCCTCTATCCATTTCTATCAATTTCATGATCATACCTGGGGGGCTTATTAGCGCAACGTAACCGAATTTGATTATAATAACAACTCAATTAAACTTAATTTCTTATTAATAAATTATTTATTAAGCTAATTACCTCCATGTCCAATGGAAAACTTGGAACTGCAAAAACTACAGTAAACGTCCGATTCGTTTCCTTGTACTTTCCGAAGAAAAGGATATTTGGTTTTCAAATTATCGGTAAACACGCACTTTCTTTTTAAATTTAATTTTAGCGACATGGCGAGGTACTAGACGCACGTCGTTACGCTTACGTTTAAATCATTGTTTAAATGCAGTGCTGGTCACGGTAACTTTCCACGAAACGGTCGCGTCAATAACCGCGGGGTGTAGGCGGTAGCCGACACAAAGGAAACCAGTCTCAGCTGAGGCAGTAAACACAAAATGTTAACAATTTAACATTTTCTTAGAAATCGGGACGATACAAAAATAGTACCGTAAAATCGGGATGGTTCGTTAATTCGGGACATGGTATAAAAAATCTAAACCTGTCCCGCCCAAATCGGGACGGTTGGTCACCTTAGCGTAATAAAGCTCCAGGTATTGATGGTATCAATGCGACTGTAATCCAGGCATCCGCTGATATAATCGGCCCAGTTTTGGTTCGATTAATAAATCGAATTTTAACAACAGGTGTGTGTCCCAAGCATTTCAAAGTCGCAGTAGTTAAGCCTCTATTTAAATCAGGCGACAGAAATAGTTTAACAAATTACAGACCAATCTCGCTGCTTTCTTGCATAGCCAAAATATTTGAAAAAGTACTTAAGAAACGGCTAGTAAGTTTCATAGACTCCAACAACTTATTGTCAGACCGGCAATACGGCTTTAGAAGTCATTTAAGCACGCAACACGCCATAGCGGAGGTAATAAAAGACATATATAGAAGTCTGGACGGTAGTAAACCGGCACTTGCTGTTTTCATTGACTTAACGAAAGCCTTCGATACAATCAATCACAATAAGCTGTTACAAAAATTAGAAAATTATGGTATCAGGGGCATTGCGCTTCAGTTAATGAAATCTTATCTAGAAGATCGAGAGCAAATGGTAAGAATCGGAGATGCATACAGCGATCCGCTGACGGTGAGATGTGGAGTCCCGCAAGGCACCGTCTTGGGGCCAATACTATTTAACATATATGTCAATGATTTCCTCAAATCTCATTTTGGCGGGTCGGTGTATGCATATGCCGACGATACCGTTGTCACTTACCAAGCTAACAGTTGGGAAAACTTAGAAAAAGTTGTCTCATTGGACCTTTTGACGATAAAAAGTGGTTTGACTATAATTTACTTTCTTTAAATCTGAAAAAAACCAAGTTTACTCCATTTTTTCTAAATAAAAATAATGATCCCAATCTACAAGTAATTAAAATTCATAAACAAGACCGTGCCGAAAAACGGTGTAATTGCGAACATATTGAACGTGCAAACTCCATCAAATATCTAGGTATCATAATAGATAGTTCCATGAAATGGCGTCATCATGTAAAAGAGCTAATAGCAAGACTTAGAAGCTTTTATTATGTGTTCAAACAGCTTAGAGATTTCCTCCCGGTACATACATTAAAAAGAGTTTATTTCGCTTTAGTGGAATCTCACATCTCGTATGGTATAACTGCCTGGGGTGGAGCTCTAAAAACCGTTATAAAACCGCTGGAAATAGTACAAAAAAGCATAATCAAAATTATTTATAAAAAGACCGCCAGGCACAACTCGGACGACCTATACAGACATTCAGAGATCCTTGACATTAGGCAAATTTATGCAAATATAGTGCTCGAAAAATGTATTGACAACAATTCTCTAAGGCTCATGAAAAGTAACCATTCACATGATACAAGACAGAAGCAGCTTGGGGAGTGTTAAATTATCCGTGTGTACGAAAAGGTGTGGGTCAAAGGAGTTACGAATATTTGGCAATTCGATTTTATAACAAAATGCCATTTTATTTGAGGTCGTGTACATCTAATAGAAATTTCAAAAAAGGTTTAAAGGAGTGGCTATTATCGTATCCCAGGTCAGCAATCCATCAAATGTTTGGGTAAAAAAAAAAAAATAAAATAAAAAAAAAATAAAAAAAAATATGCATGTAATAGGATATCCATGGATCCCTCCAGTTCCTCCCCTTCCGCTAATATAATACATATAGTTTTTGTTTGTATAGATGTAATTCATTTTTTCTTTAAAGTTTTGTTAATATAACGGAGACCACTTTAATTTCTTAATTTCAAGGTGCAGACAAGCGTTTGCTTACGCATCTTGGGCATGATGTAATTCACTCATATGTAAATATTTATGTACTTATATTTTCAATTTTTCAATATATTTCAATTTCAATTTTCAATTTGCTTCGAAAACTGTATCATTTGGATCATCAACCTCCATCTCATTATTTGGGTTAACATTTAATATTCTAGATGGTTCCCCAGTGATGAAAAAATTTAACGTGTTTAAGAGTCTTCTGTACCCACTGCACTCAATGTAAATTTCCATAAGAGCGCCCGCCATAAAAACGCAAGTTGTTTTTCAAAAATAAATTTTTTTTAAGAACTATTTTTTAAATTTACACCTTTATCTACAAAATGTTCGGGCTATTTTTTTTTTAAGTTTATAGCAACTGAATACCGATTGTTTAAAGATTAGATGTTTTGCATCGATTATTGCGCTAATCTGTTTTATTTTTTTACTCTGGAACAAAACGGTTTATGGAAAAAGTAAACCGACAGTTTTCTAGATAAGATACTTCTAAACATTACCCCAAAAATTGAAATCATATTTTTTGGAAATAAAGTCTGTATCTTGGCGGGCGGTAAATCAACAATTTGAGTGTAACAAGTAGCGCCGCTGCACAGTGTCGACGGGAACTAACTAAGGACCAAAATAGGAGTTGACTAAGCAAGAATATCATCTTGTTTCTTGCAACTATAATCATCTATATACCATAATGTAAAAACGTTGCGCTTAGGTAAAGAAGACTCTTAATATAGGTAATCATTTTTAAATATTTTTTACAAAAGGTACATTGCCAAAACATGTTTAAATAAGTTGTTGTTACCTTTATGATATACAAAAAAACCTATACTTTAAGGGAAAAGCTAAATACTTAATTTATATTGGATAACGATTGAATTAGCTGTTGCTTAAATGCAACTTGTTTGTGGCTGTTCAGAAGAGCTAAATTTTAAAGAGCGGAATCAATGTTTAATTGGTTTACTATGCTTATACCTAACCGACGGAATTTTTTGGTCATATTTCGTTTCTATTTTATACACAGATAACTGTAAAAAATACCACAAATGTTCTGCCTCTACAGGGTATTTTAAATTAAGAACGATAAAAAAATGAAAACACACGTCCACCGCCTTCTTTAGCGACGGAACTATATAAATATTGTTATTTACGCAACTACCATTACTTGCTTTACTTCGGTGTGCACTATTTCGGCGATTACGTATGGTTGTACAGTTAGGCCATATTTCTCGCAAAGTTCTCTTTTTTTGGATATTGCTATTTCGACGTCAGCTGGAGACTAAAATAGAGAGAATGACAAATATAATTTACTTAGTTTTATCTTAACTACCTCAACTTTTATAATGACCCCGGCAGCAGCCTCATCGTTGCTTGGCCTCCACTGGCTCTTTTTTCGCACAATTCTAGCTGTGCATGGGATTAAAGATGAGAGTAGGAGTATTGCAGTGAAGATTTTGTAGTCTGCAAAAAATCAATATTATGTTTACTACGTATACTTCATAAGCAGCCATTGTACCTTCGTTTTCCGTGTTCTGTAGAATGTCGACCCAAGGCCGATCTCTCATTGATAGATGTTTTTGTCTTAGATTTAATAGTCTGTGGAAAACACTTTCGAAATCAATAAAGAATCTATTATTGGATTCAGGGTAAAGCTTCGCAAAGTCTATATCAATCTAAAGAAAAGAAATTTATCATACTATATATTGCATAGGTAGTAAAACACTTACTAATGTGTAACCTAATGGATTTTTTAGAATGGGCCAATCTTCATAAATCTGTATTAAATAATTTTTTTCTATTTCGATTTTTAAATGTTCTTATTAACGCACCGTTTTCCACTCAAAACAGTGCGTTAATGAGGCCTATGTATGCTTATTTGAAATAAAAATCATCAAGGTGTGTTTACATTTGAAATCCATTTGTGATATTACCAACCTAACAAGTTTTATTTACTAATTTCTTAACTAAAGAGCCTATAGCTTTGGTAGAATACCTAACCTAATACCTATATACACGTGTGATAGTCAAATTAAAAGTAATGCTAATGATAAAACGAAAAGAACAAGTATTTTTATAAAGTAAGTAATAAAAACAACTAAGTAAAGAAGTACCAATATTTTAGCTACTTTTGCACTGAGCAGTTGTTGTAAATGTTAATGTTAATAGTGCAATTCTCTGCAGCATTTAGTATCAAACCAGGAACATTGCTTAGATTGTTTACTGAGGAGTTACTTTCAATGGTAACCGTGTGTCATTGCTCTGTGGTAGATTCCACTGACTCCTCTTCTACAACATGGGCGACTGTTGCTGTTGTACGAGAAGAAGAAGGTACCGGATGTGTTGCTATGTTAGTTAGCATATTTGTAGATAGCATTTCCGATACTTCCATTTTCTTTTTTAGAGAAGATTCAACATACCCCTCAGCAACAGTGGAGGACTTCCAACCTCCGTGATGCTTAATGGTAAGCAGGTCACCACCACTATTTGCCAAGTGAGAGGCAGAGGAGCGACGAAAGCAGTGCCCCGAAAACAACTCGCTGTTCGGTAATTGTAAATATTCAGCTATTGCTTTTGGCATCTTCCCGATTTTATTAATCCCAATAGGTTGTACTGTGCAACTTCCGTTTCGATAATTTAGGAAGAAACGATTAGAATTTATGTGTGATGGCCTCAGATTGGTGTAAGTTTTAATAATGTTAATCCACTTCGTGTCGGTGACTGCAAATAATCGTGATACATTATTTTTTGTTTTAGGGACGGAGATTAATATGGAATCTGCTTTATACTCCACACCGTTAACCGACATGTTGGTTAACTCTTCCCTTCTGCAGGCACCACAATATCCCATAATTAATACGACCTAAAGAATATTTAGTATTGTAAAACCAAAATTGAATACTACAATAATAAACTTACTTTCATAATAGATAAATGTTATCCGGCGCCTCATTTATAAATTGGGAAATTTGGTCAAAATCTAAAATTTTAGATTTTTTCGGTTGATAGCCGTGAGAGAACGTTTTTAATAGTGCAATTACTCTTGTTAGTTTAGAGATATCAAAGTTCTCCTTAATGTTGAGCATTGTGCGCAACATGGAATAGTTCGCCCAAATTGTCGAACTTTTTTTAGTTTTGGACATTTCATTAAAATATGCGATAATCACATTTTCTGAAATAGCAGTTACATTGTGTTCCAGTTTCCAATTTTGAAATATTTTGTATGCCCGTTCGTAGTGCTTTTGGGACTTCACGGGTACTAATTTGTTTACTGCTTCGATGGCAATTTCTCGCAATTCTGACGGAGTGCAAGGTAATTCATCTTCACTCATTGTGATGAAAGATTGTAAATAGTTCTTATTATGTAAGTTCTTATGATGTAAAAATTAATTTAAGAAGGATATTTAAAATGAAATTAAAGTTTAAATAATTCGAATTTAATTTCAAACAGTATATTACCAACATCATACAATTTTAGTGTAATACCAACTGTTTTCTTGGAAATCCCTAAATAGTTTCAAGTGATCACATTTTTTCAAAATTACAAGAAAAACGCGTCTCAATAGAAAAAATACTATAAGAAACGCGTTTCATAAGACGCCCCATCGCACTCGTTCATTAGAAAACTCGCCGCAAAGCGGCTCGTTTTCTAAACTTGACCTCGTGCGATAAGAGCGCCACTTATGAAACTTGTTTCTTAATATACTATTTTCATCCGCAAATGAAGATCTATGGAACGCCGTTGTATCTTTTAATAACTGAACACCCGGACTAAAAAATTAACTATAATTGACGCAATGGTACTAAAATTTATAGAAATTTACTTTGTGTTAACAACAATTGCCTAGTTGAAATTAATAATTGCATATCTTCCAATAACAACTCGCAATAATTTCCCTTTTACAATTTCAAATAACGGTTTTTGTGCGAAATTTCAAAAACCGTTATTGAAATGGCATATTTAACAATTTCAAATCGGCAGTCTTATTCATTATATCACGATTTAGGAATAACGTGTTGAAAATTTTAATGTTCAAAAATTATCGATTTGATATTATTAAATAATCTTTAATATCACCTTCACGCTTTGTAATAATTTTCAATTTCAAGTTGAAATAAAAAATTCAATTCTCTATTTCAAACTCGTAACTTTGGAACGCACAATTTAATTTTTAATATCAACTCTGTGATATTGGTAATTCGATTTACTTATATGTCATGACATATAAAAAATTGTGGCGCCATCTATCGAGTGATGTCAAAAGTGAGGAGCGAACCTCAACCCAACTAATCACGTTTGATGTAATTACCGCGAAAATCTACTTTCAAGTGCTTATTTTATTACCCATATCGTTCATAAATACATTGTGCGAATAATATTGTCAAAAAAAATGTACAATTACGCGAAATGGAGATTTTAAATTCTGTTCCGATTATTAAACTTACTGTCGCTAGAGGGCAGGTCAATTTGCTATATGTGATTTAAAAATATCGCCTTGATATTTTTAATTCATTTACCAATATGTGCGACTTGATATTTTTAATTCTATTGCACAAATTACTAATTTCTACTTGGAATTTTTAAATACTTTCATGATATCGACTTTGTATTTTAAAACAATTTTTTATTTCAAAACTATTATTATTTAGAGTTGAAATATTAATAAATTTCATTGATTCCTTTGGTTGGATGTTCAATCCACAACATAACGATAATTTTCAATTTCTTGTTTCAAGTAATATCCATCCCTATTAATTTATTCCTCCACAATGAAGAATTCATTGCTGAATGTTTACAAACTGTTTTTGATATCAAAAATTTTTATCTGATATTTAAAAATAAAAGCTATTTTCAACCATAGAATAATTTTCTATTTCATTTCTTAATTTTCAATAACGAAAATATGTTTTTAAAACTCATCAACCGATTTTTCAGTAACAGAAGTTATAATTTTGCATTCTGAACATTTTAAAACGTACCTGAAATTTTCATTAAAATCAATTAATAGGTATGCAGTTTCAAATAAAACGTTAGACGGGATTGAAATTTTTGCGACAATGGAAGAAGTAGTTTCCATATTGACAATTGTAATTAACACAAAGGTTGTTATAGTTAAAAAAATTTTAATATCCTATTGAAATATACAATTCACGAATTATATTTCTAAGTTTCATATCGTGTACAATGCAAAGTATTTAAAAATTTCAAGTAGAAATTAGTAATTTGTGCAATAGAATTAAAAATATCAAGTCGCACATATTGGTAAATGAATTAAAAATATCAAGGCGATATTTTTAAATCACATATAGCAAATTGACCTGCCCTCTAGCGACAGTAAGTTTAATAATCGGAACAGAATTTAAAATCTCCATTTCGCGTAATTGTACATTTTTTTGACAATATTATTCGCACAATGTATTTATGAACGATATGGGTAATAAAATAAGCACTTGAAAGTAGATTTTCGCGGTAATTACATCAAACGTGATTAGTTGGGTTGAGGTTCGCTCCTCACTTTTGACATCACTCGATAGATGGCGCCACAATTTTTTATATGTCATGACATAAGTAAATCGAATTACCAATATCACAGAGTTGATATTAAAAATTAAATTGTGCGTTCCAAAGTTACGAGTTTGAAATAGAGAATTGAATTTTTTATTTCAACTTGAAATTGAAAATTATTACAAAGCGTGAAGGTGATATCAAAGATTATTTAATAATATCAAATCGATAATTTTTTAACATTAAAATTTTCAACACGTTATTCCTAAATCGTGATATAATGAATAAGACTGCCGATTTGAAATTGTTAAATATGCCATTTCAATAACGGTTTTTGAAATTTCGCACAAAAACCGTTATTTGAAATTGTAAAAGAGGAAATTATTGCGAGTTGTTATTGGAAGATATGCAATTATTAATTTCAACTAGGCAATTGTTGTTAACACAAAGTAAATTTCTATAAATTTTAGTACCATTGCGTCAATTATAGTTAATTTTTTTAGTCCGGGTGTTCAGTTATTAAAAGATACAACGGCGTTCCATAAAGATCTTCGAAGAGAGAACGTTTCCGTCCATTTATTTTGAACGTCACTCCATGGTTCACAATTATTCCTTAACCAAATAAAATCGAAATTTTGATCTATAAATAACTATACCGGGTGATCGGAAAGTAGTGCGGACAGTTTGAATTTCCCACAAAACTAAACATTTATAAAGTTGGTAACATACCAAATGTCATTTATTTAAAAGCAGTGGTGGATCAATTTAATGGATCACTAAACATTAATCACAATTAATTAATTAAAAATTAAAAAAATTAATTTATCAAGCTCAGTTGCACGCTCGCCCGGGTTCATGTATTCAAATATGTATTCCAACGTTGCCTGAGCAATAGTCATGCTAATTAAACTATCACCGTAAGGTTCATTTCATTTGCCTACATGCAATAAGACGTATCCACGTATTCTCATAAATTAACGTCATCATCACAACGATATCAATGTGTAAAATTTTGTGCTACATATTATGCAATAAGTCTGTAAAAATATCAAATAGGGATGTTATCGTTCACATTGTTATACCCACCAGATTCATTAGAGTATTTTCGATAACGATTTCTTGGTGCTATGTTTTTATTACACCTTCGACATCATGGTAAGTAGCACATTTATCGTTGAATTGCAGTAAGCACAGCTGAGTCGAATATGAATCTTTTAAACATGTACGCCTTTCAATTGTGCATCAAAAGACAAAAGTGCATCCCCTTTAAAGCCTTTATGCCTAAAGAGTAAGGTTACATGATCCTTATAAAGTATGTTCTCTTTGTTATATTTTTACAGATGTAACCACATCAAATGTCCAAATACTTATATTTAATTTATAATACAATACACAGTACATTTCAGCCGACTGCCATCTTTATATTGCTGTGTCTCTTGTACCTACCTAATTATTACATACGTTACATCTCCCCTTTATAGTACATAATCCTTAAATTTAAGAGGTTTATGGACAACCCTCATAGGTCTAGTAATTTGTGGAGCTGGTGAGCTAATATTATTTTCAACGTTAACTGGATTTAAATTTGGAGACTCAATAGTCGAATCTGATGCACTGATATTTGCATTAGTGAAATTTGCATTTAAATTTTGAGCAGGCAAGTCATCACAAGTGCTACTAATTGGTTTGAATTCATTAAAAGATTTCCTTAAATGCTGTGAATTTCTTCGCATTACGTGACCATTAACATCTTTAATTACATAAGACCTGGGAGAATCATGTTTCTGAATTATTCTAGCCGGTTCCCACTTTTTATCTCTAAACATTACAATATTCTCACCGTTAGAAAAACTCTTTCTAGTTTTCGTATTCCTGTCATAGTAACTCTTATGAATTTGCTGTCTGTTCTGTATTAATTTAGTTACATTATCCTGAACTTTAGGCTTTAGTAAACTACTATGTATAGGAATCTTGGAGTTTGTCCTACGACTCATTAGAATTTGTGACGGAGAGAGGTGCAATCCAGACAGTGGAGAATTTCTGTATTCCAAAAGTGCAAGGGTGATATCCTTGTTGTCATCGTAACATTTCTTTAAAATATTTTTTGCTGTTTGCACTGCTCTCTCGGCCTGTCCATTGCCTCGAGGATAACGTGGAGAACTCGTTACAAACTCAAAATTCCATTTTCTTGCAAAGTCTTTACATTCATATGAATTAAAGGGATTATTGTCTGCGATTATAGTTTTTGGTACTCCATGAGTGGAAAATAAAATTTTGAGCTTATTTATGATTTCTACAGATGTCTTAAACTTAATCGGAATAATTTCTAACCATTTTGATAGATAATCTTGAACCACTAGATAATTTTTTCGTCTACATTCTAAAATGTCTACAGCTAATTTATTAAAAGGCAACTCAGGTATGTCATGCATTAGCATGGGTTCTTTAACATTTGCCACACGATACCTTTCACAGATCACACATCTATTTATCATGTTTTCTATATCTCTACTTAGACCAGGCCAGTATACAAGCTGTCTCGCTCGTGCTTTTGTTTTCTCAATTCCAAAGTGTGACTCATGCAATAAGCTTAAGATGTAATTTCGTAAAGTAGTAGGCACTATTATACGGTTATTGAGAAATATTAAATCATTTTCAACCACAATCTCATTTTGAAATTTGTAGTAATTATATGCTAAGGATTTAAAGCATGTTTTTTTATTTAGCCAACCATCCTTATGATACTTAATAATTTCGCTTAGAACAGGATCATTTTTAGTTTCTTTGATAAATTCTAACTTTTTGGAGTCAGATATATTTATACTTACACTATGCACTATATCTTTAATCCAATTAGGTTCTTCGGGTTTATCATTTAAATATGACCGTGAAAGTAAATCGGCCACATACATATATTTACCAGGAAGGTAAGTCATTTTCAGTGAATATTTTAACAATTTTAATTTCATTCGCTGTAGTCGAGGAGAAACAATGTCAGCAATTTTCTTTTTCATGATGCCTAGCAAGGGTTTATGATCTGTAATTACGTTGACCTCCCTTCCATAAATGAAATTATGAAATTTATTTGTCGCAAACACAATTGCCAATAGTTCTTTCTCTATCATAGCATAATTCATCTCAGCATCAGACAGAGCTCGAGATGCATAATACACAGGTTTACCCAACTGCATCAAGCAACAACCAAGACCACTTTTAGAAGCGTCTGCTTGTATTGTAATTTCCTTATTATCATCATAATTTGCCAAAACTGAAGCACCTACAATTTTGTCTTTAATAATTTTGAAAGCTTCCCTGTGTTGAGGACACCACAGAAATTCAACATCATCTTTTAAAAGTTCTCGCAAAGGAGCTGTTAACTCCGATAAATTAGGAATGAACCGTCGTAAATAATTAATCATCCCCAAGAGACGTTGTAATTCTTTTTTGGTGCTAGGATTTTGCAAAGCTACTATAGCCTGTATTCTATCATTGTCCAACTTAATGCCTTCAGCAGAAAAAATATGACCTAAAAATTTTACTTCTGGTTTTCTGTACTGTATTTTGTTTTTATTAAACCTCACCCCTATTTCACGAGCTCTATTTAATACAGTTTCTAAGATTTGATCATGTTCCTCAAAAGTATCTGCCGCTATTAACAAATCGTCAAAGTAAATAATAACTCCAGGTATATCACCAAAATTTGTGGAGTTAATTTTTTGGAAAATTTCTGGTGCTATACTTAACCCAAATGGTAATCTTTTAAACTTATAAATTCCAAATGGTGTACTGAATGCACATAACTTAGCTGAATTAGGTTCAAGTTCTATGTGCCAAAAACCATCCTTAAAATCTAGTACAGTATACACTTTTTTGTTACATAGTTTGTGACTTATGTCCTCTATTGTGGGTATTAAAACATTTTCTCTATGCAGTGCAACATTGAGATCTTGAGGATCAAGACAAATTCTTAAACTATTATCTTTCTTTTGTATAATAACTAAATTACTGACCCATTCAACAGGCTCATTAACCTTAGAAATGATATTTTTTTGCACTAAATCATCTAAAGTATTTTTCAATTTATTACGCAGCGTAAGTGGCACCCTACGAGGAGGTTTTGCTACTGGTTTAATGGACTTATCTATGGAAATTTCACATTTATCTTTAAATTTACCAACACCTTCAAACAAGTCAGCATTTTTCTTAATAAATCCATCTTTATCTGTGTTTCCCTTAACTAGGTCAACCTTTTTAACCAGATTTAAGTCAATGCAAGTTTGCAACCCTAAAATAGGCGTAACTAGCTTATCAACTATTATAAAATTAACATAAATTTCTCTGTCTTTGTGAACACATCTTAAATTTACAATTCCCTTTTGATCTAAACTAAAACCACCATAAGCCTCCAACTTAACATCACTTTGTTGTAATTTAAATTGTTTATCTACAGATTTAAACACTTCATTCGACAATATATTTACCTCGGCACCTGTATCTAATTTGAAATCGATTGGTTTACCTTCCACTAAAATTTGCTCACGCCACGACTTGGTTACGGCATCGGTATTTCGTATCTCCAGAGAGTTAACACCAAATTCACTTTCCTCGATGTCGTCTGCGATGACTTCTCGAACTGCTTTGACTCTGCACGAAACTGCAAAATGGTTTAGTCGTCCGCATCGTCTGCACGGCTTCCCGTATGCAGGGCACTCTCTTGGAAAATGTACAGTCTGGCACCTACGGCATTTGAATTTTTTGTTTTCTACTTTACCTACATTTTTGCCAACGCTGCTACTAGCGTTGTTATTGGAAACATTAACACATTTTGATGACTGTTTCTTTACTCCATCGACAACATTAATGTGTTGCAGAGTTTTTACTTGCGCTTTGGATATTTCCGCTGCCCTACAATAATCTACCACTTTGTTTAAATCAAGATCTTCAACTCGCAGTAATCTCTCTTGTAACGACACATCTTTTATTCCTAAAACTATTCGGTCTCGTAGCATTTCATCTGCCAGACAATTGAAGTCGCATGTCTGACTTAACTTCTTGAGGTCAGTATAAAATTGTTCAAATGTTTCCCCTTCTTGCTGGTTACGTTTGTGGAACACGAACCTCTCGTACACTACGTTTTTCTTGGGATTGCAATACTTTTCAAAACAATCAACAACATACTCGAAATTCTTCTTATTTTCTTCGCTGATATCAAACGTATTAAATAACTCGACACCGTCTTCGCCGATTAAATTTAGAAATATCGCCACTTTTACGGTCGAATCCTTTTCATGGTGACCTGTTGCCGTCATATAAATATTAAAATTTTGCTTAAATTTCTTCCAGTTGCTACTGATATTGTTACTGAAATCCAATCTTTTGGGGGTATTAAAATTGAATCCCTCCATTCTGCACGTGTTGAGCTGCGCTGCGGTTCTCAACCTCACTTTTCTTAAAATTTCCAAAACTTATATTTTTGCAAATAGTTACGTTAATTTTCGGACTGCGCCATGTTATATTTTTACAGATGTAACCACATCAAATGTCCAAATACTTATATTTAATTTATAATACAATACACAGTACATTTCAGCCGACTGCCATCTTTATATTGCTGTGTCTCTTGTACCTACCTAATTATTACATACGTTACACTCTTAATGTACGTACCTTTACGAAATAATGCACGTGCGAAGACCTTTTTAAAAAGAGCTGTTTGCTTTGAAACGCCTGGATCACAGCACGAAGATTAGAAAATCAAATTCACATAAAAAAACTACGCCAATGGATGACAATTAATGCATAAATAAACCAACTTCTAAACATGTTTGCCAATTCCTTAAGTAAAAAACACTAAAAATTTAAAGCGCCAAATTTAAATTGTCTGCAGTTCTTTTCGATCACCCGGTATAGGTTCGTTTACAAACTTGCAAAGTATACCTACCTTTTGCAGAATCGATTTCACCTTGTTTTTCAGGACTGCTACTGGACACGCGTATGTGGGGGAGTACTCCTGCTTTTCGTAAGTACGTCAACTTGTTTTTGTATTTATCCACTAGTTTGCCTTTTGCAGCTTCAGACATCTCTCGAATATTTTTTTAAAACTGGGGGACAGTAATAGACATTCTTATTTTCATTTGGAAATAATTCAACAATTTTGTTGGCTATTAAATTAATATCTTCATTAATTAGCCTCCTAAAAAAAGAAATACTTCAAAGTTTAAGGAACCTCAGGTATACCTACGTAATACATACCAACATTCATTATTTAAAAAATGCGAGACTATTATTTCAACAAGATACGATTGACTATGAGTATCCAGAAGTCGTTTGGCGTCATATATTTTTAATACCGCCTGTCCAGTTCGCGTTGCATTTAATAAGTTTTTTAGATTGAAATCTTCAAGTACCGATCGCTGTTGCTTTGGGCGGGACGGTGAATTTTCAATGCTGAAATTGTGTTATTTAATAGCATCTTCTGTACACGGTTACGGTCTTATGGATAATGTAACTTACTTCTGTATTTCCCCAAGTACTATTGGTTCATCTGTTAAGACCCGTTTACGAGTTGGAGTTTCTAAAAGGCCCTCACAATCACCAACTGGCGTTGCAGTTGAAAAGATACACACTTTTTCACTAAGAAAATCCCTAAAAGTTATACGATTTTAAAAGTAGGTATCTTTAGCCTGCTTTATAACTTCTCTTACAACGTGTTATGCTGTGGAGGAAATATTGGTGTTGGCGTTGAGGTAATGGGACAGTCAGGTAAACTGTGTACTGATCTTAACCCCCCCCAGGCTCGAAATGGAAATTACAGATTTCACGGAAAAGTGGCAACGTTGCAATCCCAGTATCAAAACACGGTTCCCGCCTAAAATTCAAACAAAAGAATGGCACGTGATTGGATCGTCTACGGTAGGGCCCCCTTACGTTACACGAAGCTAATACAATGACTCGGGACCCAGTCGGGCAGGAACACTCAAATAAAACACAGTAATGTCTGCGAGTTTATTTATTATAAACTTATTCTGAAAAACCCGGAATTTGGATGTGGTACATTAAAAGCAAAGCAAGCAAAACCTAAAGGTGTCGCACTCTCGCAAAAGCAGACTACCAAGGCGAAAAAGAGCGCGACTTGAGAAAAACCTTGGCCTTGAATAAAACCCAAACTATGTTAATCACAAGCAAATTAAAACACCAACCACCTAAGCAGAACATGTAACACTACCTTAATTAATTAATGAATTCAATTAGCAGGGTACGTTTGAACAGTATGCGTAGAGTATTCGCTTAATCTAAAAAAATTTAAAATAATTACCTCCAATACCAATCATTTCCGAATTGTCACTTACATATCGGTATCGATATTTGTAGTATTACATGTGACTGTAATTATCGTGCAAATCAAAAAATAAACATGGAAAATCGTATTTATTTCATACTATCTAGTAATCGCCGCTTTCCCAGACCCATTTGAGTCTGGTAAATCGTATTTTACCAGACTGAAAACTTTTACCAGACTGGAAATGTTGCCTAGCAACATCAACTGACATCCATATAAACCTAATATATTAATGTGTCAAACTACTGTCAGATCAAACAAATCAAGTGATCGCCTTTGCTTTCATTTGAATGCGTACAACATTCTAATCAAAAATTGTATGGCATTTTAATAGAAAAAAGAGCAGTATGAAATAAAATGTTTTACATTATTTGTATGTTAAATCAGTTAACGTTACTCGTTTCGAAATTCCTGCCTCAGCTACGCTTCGGCAGTAAACATCTCACTCGTTAACGTAAACCTTGATTTACCATACTCATATGTAAATAACTATTAACTTGGACTTCCAAAGCCGACTCGACAGCAACTCATTTTTGATCGCCAGTTATAATCTATTCTCAAACTCTTGTCGAACCTTTCCTATGTTGGTTTTGCAATATTTCGACATTCTTGAATTATTTTCTCTCTTAGTTCGTCTAATGTTCGCCGGTTGCGTTTTAAATACGACAGATTTCAAATGTATCATATTAGTTTATTTTTTGATTTGCACGATAATTACTAAACTAAATTTAATGCTATTTGGTATGGTTGGAAAGCATTTTTTCAGAGCTTTCCAACGACGTATCACACATGGGGGGTCACTATTTAAGATTTAAAAGTTGGGGTGGCTGGGGCGCAGGGGGTTGAAGGGGGTGCGTCTATGTCATTGTGATTCCCCCTCCGAATTACCCAAAGGGATTTTGATTTTTTTAAATATCTCGTTTATTTACTAAGATATGGGGGGTGGTAAGTTTTCAAATTGTCACCCTGTATAAGATCCGAACGTTCACTACAACCATTCGTACGTTAATAATTAGAATAGGTACAGTTGATTGTTAGAATCGCATTATGATTTATTTACCCAGTATATTAAAGATACAGAAGAACATATTTAGTTAGCCTTAAGTATATGTTCACTAATAAGTAAGACGTAGGTTGCTTTTAAAAAATGGCACCATGTCCTTATGCATATCTTACTATTTATTGGTGTTATTGGTGGAATCAACTCTACCATCACATCCTCGTCGGAATCGGAGGAGCTATTACTGTGTAGAATACAGAGCAGGAACGTCCGAATCCGAAGAGTCTCCCAACATTTTTTTGATAATAAGTAATATCAATTAACACACAAATTCTTAATACAAGAATAACATAATAACAAAAGTAAATAGTAAAGGTAATCCACAAAGAAAATTGAAGTTTCAATAAAGGTAAATACACAATAATTTGCTACCAAAATTTAAATAAACAGCGATTTGATTGGTTGTAGCACGAGCAATGTTAATACCAACTAAAAAAAAAAATTTTAACCGACGGTTGGTCAACCCACAGCGTAGAACCGTTGAGTGAAGGATCTAGGTAGAGAGGCAATGCTTATGTTAAAAGCATAGTGAACGTGGGGTTTGAGATATAGGCGGCCAAGAGTGATCTCAGATCCCGACGGCAACAACCAAGTCGACGATCCAGATCCGGATTGCATTATTTTATTTTCATATTTTCGCTACCACAATATTAACCTTACAATTACATTATCGCTTTATTAAATTTGCGCACAGCAGCGTTGAGCCAAAGCGAGGGCAACAGGCGAAATATACGGTTACGGTAGGTCCGTATCAGAGGCTGCATGTGGCCCTTGTAAAATTAATTTGTGATCGATGATCGAAACAGTATGTTTACGGTGACCGAAACATATTATTTAAAAGTATTATAATGCACATTTTATATCTAGGTATATTCTATATAAAACAAGCGGCCGCATCAAAAGCAAGCCTTTAATCATGATAGCAGAATAGCTAGATAAAGTTACCAGCAGATTCGCCAATTAAACAAGTTGTCTTTTACCTTCCCGGTTATGATAAAGAGAAACACATAAAATAAATGATAATATACATAGTCACAGGTACCTATCATTATATAATTCAGTAGGTACCGTCTTTTTTTCAAATTGTCACGTTAATTGCGAGAGAGTACCTATACCTAGCGTTATCGGTTTAAAATAAGTCGGTAGTGTGCTAAAATTGTAGGATGAGTGTTGCAAATCATATTTGCGTTTATGCAAATTGCTACCATCAGCAATAAACATAGTGATGGAATAAGTTTCTTTAAAATTCCCATAACAGACGAAACTAGGACCAAGGTGTGGCAACGTAACTGCGGGAACATTAAGATTTTTGAAATCCAAGGGTTGAAACATAAATTAATATGTGAAAAACACTTTCTAACAGAACATATGTACAAAAGTAGACGTAAGTTGCTGAGGAAAAATGCTACTCCAATTCAATTTAAAGGTAAGGTAAACGTATATAACAGATTCCGTGTAGCTTTGCGGCTGAATTATTTCCATTCTCAAGGAAAGTCGTATATATTGTTACTATTTTAATATCTCGACAAATTTCAACCTCATTAAAAAATTTTAATTTATTACAGAGAGTAGGGCTGCAGAACTTGGTACGCCGTCAAGCTCCTTATTAGGCAGTAAAATGAAGACATATGTAAACAAAAGATATTGCAATAGTCCAACAGAAAAACTTACCTATTGTGATTCAGAGAGTAGTACTAGCAGTTTGGCAATTTTTTACTTACCTATTTTGACTCGCTGGATGAATATTTATCTAAATAATACCTACTTTACACGCACAATCGCAAAATACATAAACATAAATGATATGAGATACTTTTCTTTGTGATTAGGTAGGTATACTTTTTTGAATTTCGTCCGTACGTACCTGCTGCTTTTAGAACTGCTCTTAATTAGGTATCTGATCCAATAATTATGATAAGGGACTGATATTATGCAGGTATACAATTGCATGAAAATAGAATGACTCATTTTGTTTACGTGTGTTACAACGGTTTTCGATAGTTGCAATTGGATTGGAGTTACGCTAAAGACTGATTTCGTTGGAGAGGGCGGCTGGGCGAAAATACTTAATACTTGTAAATTGTAAAGAAGGAAAGCGCCGTCGAAATTGTCGGTGGCGTTAGCTATCGGTGTTGCAAAACGTGGACTCGGAGGGGC